ATATATCCTATAATTTGGGCAACCTATCCCGTTGCTTTGCCTTTGGTCCACGAGAAACAAATACTATAGAAGTTGTTCGTATAAGATCTTGCGTTAGTATACTGCATACAATTCGCTAACGTGAATACTGCGGGCCTTCAAAAAAGTTTGTGAGTTGTGCAGCTACTCATATGATAGTGGGAGGGCAGAGAAACGCGCCGCATGAACATATAGCAGCTGACGTCACATTTTACACACGGAATAAAAGGAATAAGCAGCGTATGGAAGTCATCTTGCTTGAAGTTGGACTCGGTATCAGCATACTCGAACTCATTGGAGGACGGCTGATATCGCCAATATCATCTTTGCCAATATATTGTGCATCACACTTTCGGATTTGCCACAAAAAGTTTGCTGATTGTGTAGATCGATGCAACCAGCTCACCATGTTGCGTGTGAAAGTAGGTTATTGAGTGACACTAGCATCTAATTATCAAAGTCCACTGTTCCATATTTACCTTCACACAGCAAAGATTTCATCAGATTATTTGAAATATGATGAGACTTTTGATATTCATGAGGCCATTCCTGGTAAAGGTTCTGCATAAATGAGCATATGAAACAATACATGCCCCAGTGACATCATTTCTTGCAACTGACAATGTACTCACTGACCGAGGAATCATTCCTCACTGAAACACTACTAATGGTTACACATAGAATTCGGGAAAGTCCAGCAATATCATGCTGAGAAGCAAGATCGACGCTTGATTATAAGGCTCAAAGGCGAAACCTAAACATATCACTAAACTCTCTCTATGGAAAAATCGAAATACAATTGGACACTAACGAATTCAGCAGCGGGGAATATAATCACTTTGTTTCTCAAGGTCTTATGAGACATTCTAACCTGACGGCAATTCTTGGAGGTAATATGAATTAAGTTCTTGTTTATTATATCTAGTAAATACTTCTGGAATTTTTTACTTGAGTACTTGTTTTTTTCTGTCCGTGTAGTATACACTCTTACCCATAATCATAACGTATGATTATGGAATTTAGTGTTTTCATCTGAGAGTTATTCATATCTTCCGTCATAAGATTATGAACACTCCCTTTTACCTCTTTTTGTGGTGACTGAGTCTATTCAGTTACAATTACAGTTGAAACTATTATGTACACGTTCACCCGACTTATGAACAGAGGTCTAGACACTACTCGAAAACCCGACAGTTTCAGGGGTTTTCCACCTGTATATAGTCTGACCTTTAATTCAGCCATGGCTTCTCTTCTCTTAATTCTATCTTCCAGTGGCTAGTCGGGCCTTGTTCTCATCTTTCCGTCCTTGAACTTGAATCTCCATCTCGTTACCCAGTACGGTCCTCAGCAGTCGTGGGGAACTTTCCGTTGCATTGGCATTTCGTTCACCGATTCAGAGGACTTTTCTTACGTGAACTGCATTTGTTTTTCAGGAAGCACTGCACGAGTGATTGAACCAACTATCTCGGGATCATAAGCCTGTTGGGCACCTGGATCTACTTTCTTTGATCTCCACAAGTTCCAAATTACGATACTGTATCCTAGAGTTCAGAGGTTTCGAAAACTTATTATTGTTTACTGCCGTAGACTCAAGACGCAATGTTCCATGTGAACAAGTCTGTCTGTCTGTTTTCGACATAGAACTTTACACCGATGTGCAGCAGTTCAAGTTGCCACACTCCCTCCATGTACCACACAAAGTAAGAGAAGAAAGTAGAAGAAATGCATAATGGAAACAAAAGGAATAGTAATAGCGAAGAGCAATATAATTTCATTGGAAATCATAGGTCACAAGGAGTGGATACATCTGCGCCAGCCATTGGTGTTCACTGTCCCTAGGAACGTAACCACGAAATCTGCACATACCGACATGGCTTAAATCGTTATGAATTCGATTGTCTGGTGATGCCATGCTTTCGTTTGACCGGCATTGGCATTTTTCCAACCTGATCTACCGCATGTCAACTAACACTGACCGTCGAGGAAAGCGATGGCTAGGGATTCATGCGTAAAACATGTTCTATCCGTCTCAATCGCCGTAACTTCACAGCCTCGTCGACTGATTTCTCCTTACCTAGCATTCGACTGACGCCTAACCCCAATATTGCTCACCTTATTATACTTCATGAACACGGGAGATAGAATGCAGCCACCTATGATCAAAGCTAGCCAGCGAGGTATTTCATCGTCAATACGTTGTACCACTTCACTCCATCCTTATCTGTAAGCTAGGAGTGAGTCAGTGTAGTCCAGTCCCCTAACACCATCTTACATGTGACGGGAGCGAGTCACATGCCAAATATCCGAATGCTTTCAGAAGACTGCGTTTTGTCAGCGTCTTCACCTAGGAGTGAGGACTATATCCTCCGCATATTCCAAGTCAACGAGATTATTCCCTGGTAGCAAGTCAATCTCTGCCTGAGTCTGTGAAGTCAGCAGTTCGGATGAAGTCCATTAGTACATTTATGATGAAATTAAACAGAAATGTGACCACAGTTGTCAGATGACAACTCTCGTGGGCCCTCATCTGGCGGACCGCATGAGTTCAAGTTGACTGTCTTGATCAGTGCGATGTATTTCCCCAGCATTCCCTTCACAGCCAAACATCTCCACAGTACCTCAGTGTACGGAATCGAATTCTGCTTTTTTTCCTTCACGTTCCCCAGTGGAACAAGCTAGTGGCTTGAAGTTTCTTTAGCAGTGTTTATTTTACAGGATGGGGTTGCTAGCCTCATGCCCAACCTTTCCTCTTTACCAGCATTATTTCTGGCTTAGCGAGGTAAAGGTCAATAAATATGAGGATTGCTGGACACCGGTAAGTATACCTATGTTCGAGAATCTGTCGAAGGGGAGATAGGATCAGTACACCCCCTAACTGGTCTAAAACCTGTCTGGTTCTCCCGTGTTTGTTTCTCCGGTGCACTACTTAGTCAACACATTATTATTGAGTCTAGAACTTTAGATATCATATTGGTCAAGCTAGTGCCCCCCCTGTGATTATCACAGGAATACGTGTCATCTTTCTTGTGCACCGGGAAAATAAATGCCTTGCACAAGCGCGCGACGGGACTATCTCTGTTTCCGAAACGCTGTAATTGCATGGTGTATTTTAAATAATGATATGTAAAATAATTTTTACCATTTGTTCTTTACCTGTAGAATGAATGTCCTATTCGGACACATTGGTATAGAGTAAGAAAACTATAAAAATCTCTGTCCAGGATTTTGTGAACCAGCTGAACTTCTAAATGAGTGATATTAAATCTCAAAAGTGGTTAAGTATTTCATCCCTCCACTATTCTTCTTCTTCTTGAAGAGTAGAGTTGACAAAAACGTAGTGGGTTTTTCTTTAGTGAATTAATTAGCAGAAGTTTGAACCTTGTTTTCCTGTATAAGGATATTTGAGTCGTTTCTTTTTTGGGGAAAACATTTGAGTCATCCGTGAAATACAAACTAAGATATATATATCGATAATAGTATAGGTAAGTTTCTTCTCTCTGGCTTTGTTGTACTACAAGGAGTGGAGTGTGGCGACTTAAACTGCTGCATATCGGTGCAAAGTTCTTTGTCGAAAACAGTCAGTCAGTCATATTAATATATGTGTAAAACTTGGGCATTGTGGTGGTAGTAAGTAATTCCATATTAGTTTGTTTACTAGATGTATCACACAAACAGTCAATGAAAGAGTATTAGTATTACTTACTGGATGACACAGTTTCGAACACAATTCATTATTGCTCTTCAGAATCATTTCATCAATTATCAATAATCACACGACTTCGAAACTTGAGTTTTATAGTTTTCTTTGTTCTCTCCTACCTCTCGTCGTCATTGGGGTAGTAGAATTTTCCAGATATCTGTATGGACAAGTGTTGAATCATTCCTATTACAGGTACTCCCCTGTGTCAGTTGATTCGGTAAACGAAGCTTCTGTTATCAATCCTCCTCACTCGCCAACCTGTGACATTCGATTTTAATAATGATAATAATATTAATAGCTTTATTCCAAAGCAGTACTTGCGATACAGAATGGAATTCTCAGCATTTTAATACAGTATTGCATCCAGTTAATTAACAGATAAAATTCCTTATAGATTAAGGGTAATCTAATCTAGTTTTGACAACAACATATTAGCATGTCGGTAGGAAAACCAAAATTAAACAGTGTTTGAAGGTGCTAGAAAAAACTGTCATCCTATCCCATCCAGCCTATTGTATGGTTGTTTGTAACTGCATGTAGTGTTTGCGATAGCTGAACTTTTCTCTAGATTTCTTATCTTATTCGGGTCGACCAATCTAGATTTTGCTGCTAGGATTTTATGCTCGGCTAGTCTGACTCACTGACGCTGTTCTACTAGTTTGACCTATGTATTTGACCTGACAATCATTGCAAGCAGGGTATTATTGTTTTAAAAGCTCCACAGGATTGATCCTTTAACCGACAAAGCTTGTTTCTGAGTGAGTTTGCGGGGAGGGGTTGAATTCCAGCCAATTATATTCCTGCCAGCCTTGTTAAGAATTCTCCGCTGTAAGGTGGTTTCCGAGATTCCTTCCTTCTATGGAATACAAGCACTACATGCAGTTAGACACAACCATACAGTAGACTGGATGGGATAGGATGACAGTTTTACAATCTAATGTCACAGGGTGTAGGGAGGGAAAGATTGATAACAGAAGCTTTGTTTATCGAATCAATTGCAAATCAACACATGTAATAGGCATGATTCAACACCTATCCAGTCAATCATAGGTGAATTGGGTTGCCTCCACCTTTGAGTTATTGTGTTCGAAACATCTATCTATATCCTGTATTCTAAGCACAGTGAATGTTGTCATCTGCATACCTCCACCATACTTTTGGAGTGGGGTTGTCAGTCAATCAGTTCGTCATAGATATGTTAGAAGTCGTATTTGCACAAATCCTTCTTGATACCAAATTTTATCGATGCTTATTTACTATTTCTAGACAATTGCAGAAGGGAATGAGCTTACTCATCGATGACGATAATTACAGATTCTATGATCGCCGTTCAAAAAACCACTTCAAATGGTCCTTTGGTCGTCATAAATCTGACAATGTTAACACTTCGAATGCTTTCATTCCACCTCGATATATGTTCAGCTACGAAACAACAGACTCAAATGTCAAACATATTGAATTCACAAAGCCGTCTGAATTATTGTATCCCAATGGCGGTGTAGGCGATCGGCAAGAAACATTCGATTTCAGCACAGCTTTCTCTTTTTCTGAAAACAAGTTAGACGCCAATGATCTCGATGTGGCAAACAATTACAAGACAATATTCACGTATTCAGATCCTATATGCAATGGTAAGTTAGTTATATGAAGTGCCTAAATTTATGGTCATTGAATTTTTTTTTAAAAAAAAGGCATTTCTTTCACATCACTGTGTAGATTTTCTCTTAAATTCTGATCTTTAGTTCTTAAATTCACTGACTGACTAACTGGACCGTCGAGACTCTCTAATAAAAACCAGTCGTCGTTTGTGACTGTTGGTAATATTGTGGTCAGAGCTGCCTGCTAGCTAGCCGAAAATTGGTAGACAGTAATTTACGTCAATGTCCACGTACCATATATTAACAGCCAATCACAGAAGACTTTGTTTGCGTAGGCGGATACAACTAACAGATAGCTAATGAAACAAGAAACAGCCACAAAGAGAAACAACCACCAATCAGAAGACTGTGTTTGTCTGCTAGCAATAGTCGATAATAATGTACATGAAAATATATAAATATGTGTTGATTTCGTAAATAAACGATCTGTTGACTGGCCGTTGTATTTCTCCATGTATTTTTTTGTCCATTGCATTTCTTCGTATCATAGTACCTCTGAATTTGTTTTTCTCTCTTGTCTCTACCTTTGTGTACTGTGTGTGTGAATATGAAGCGTTTTGGCTTTAAGCACTTGAATTTCGTTCGGCCAATGCGTCCTGTGTTTGATTGCCGCCGCATATACTTCGACGTGGTATCGTTAGCCTGCACACACATACACACACACTAAGTGTAATTCATAGACCAACAGTGGGTGGTAGTTGAGGTCTAACCAAGTCTAAAGTTAAGTATGTTGGATTAATTCTTTCTACTGACCTACCTATCCTGGTCTTCCCATGCCTTAGAGATTTCTAAAAGAATATTTCGTCTGACTACTTACATTAAGAAGTTAAGGCACTCAGGCATAATTCAACCCCTCCTCCTCTTACAGTTTGTCAACTCTTGCTTGCATCTTACCTATTCTTCTTTACTGTTCACCCCTTCTTATTCTCTCCTGGACTGCTTAAAAAAGACTATGTCATACTTCGTAGAACTCTGAAGACTGTCAGTAGGACAAGTGGTATCCCATTGGGCCATATCGTTGACATTGTCATGGATAGGCACTTGATGTCATGTAAAAAAATTTGATGAAGAAATTTTGTCACCCACCCACTCTACCCGCAGCTCCAGCCTTGTGTCTCCTCAGGTGAAACAAGAAGTCACTTCAAAAGACTTTATGCACGTACGTCTAAGTAGAAAAATTCCACTGTACCATATTTGATTTGGCACGTACTTTATGTGATGAAAAAAGTGTCAGCCATGAACTAACTAACTAACCTTCTTTGCACTACTAAATAAACCATTTTCCTCCATCCTTACAACATTAACCTTTATTGTTATTGTACTTTTTATATTTATAATCCTCTGAATTTTTTGTTTTTATTTATTTATTTATTTCATAAGTGTGAACATCATTTAAGCTGTGTTACAACTGTTAATCTTGTCTTTACCCTCACCAAACTATTTCAACAGAACCTTTGATTCAATAATCCATAACATGCTAAAATTTCCAAACGGAATCGACAATACTGTTTGAAACGAACTCACTGCTATTATTATCATTATTATTATGTTTAATATTCTTAACTCGTGCTTCAAATATTTTTGACTTCATATCGTAAAAGTGGACAAATTCTTCTGGTTATTTTTGTTTTAATTTTTAATTTTATTTATATTTTGAGTAAATCAGATGCAAGGTGTTGTGACAAATGCTGGGAATTCCATTCCGTATTATAAGGAGTGCTGTTTTTGGAATAAAGTAGATTATTATTATTAATATTATTGACTAACTGTGTGTGTGTGTGCGTGTGCGTAAACTACTGAACTCCAGTTGAAACTCAATCATTCTTTAGTTAATCTGCTAATATTTAAACTTTTTTTTGCCTTTGGTTTAACTAGTAATGATTCGATTCAGCTTACATTTAAGGCTTATATTCATACAATTCTGACTATGCAATTCTTGTTATAGTAAATTGGTTTTTAAAATTGCCAAATGGTTGTCCGAAATGTTGGAGCCGATAAGAAGACAACACCTATGCGCAAATACTTCCTTCGCCGCGATACTTTTGATTTCATCGAATGCATAAAAGATTTGAATGTAAATGATAAACGAATGTTATCACTAGACGTCGAATCTCTCTTTTTACCAACATGCCACTAACAGAAAGCAAATTGTTGCTTTCTGTGCAATTATATAGAGAACTCCAATATAAGCGTCGGAATACCAATATCATATCTGAAGGAATTGTTGCTGAGATGTACGCTGAATGTACAATTCCCCCTTCCAACGGTGACATCTACAGACAGAAAGATGGAATTGCAATGGGATCTCTTCTTGGCCTGCTTTTAGCGGACTGCTTTATGGCCAGTTTGGAGTTTTAGAATCAATAATAAACAAATTTCTACTATACAAAAGGTACGTTGGCGATACTTTTATAGTCTGCTACGATAACTCAAACTTCAACTGCATCTTACAAGAATTTAAGAACAATTCCCATCCTTCGATTAAATTCACAATGGAATTAGAAAACTATTCAAAGATTCCATTTCTGAACGTGGAATTAACAAGAAGAGATGATGGAACCCTGAAGAGATTCATCCACAGAAAACCGACATGCAACGATCAACTAACGCATTTCTATAGTTGGATACCTTTGAGCCAAAAACGAGCTCTCATCATCGCACTAACCCATCGCATTAGAAAAATCTACAGTGTCGATTGCGTGGAAGAGGAGTTCCTATTCCTCGAAAATATCCTGGTTCAAAATCGTTACCCGACACGTTTCGTCGAAAGGAACATGAAACCTAAATCATATAGAGAAGAATGCGATTCAGCGACAAAGAAGATGCTGTATCGGAATCTGTATTTCAAGGGAGATTTGACAGCCGATATCCTGAAGAGGAGAATATCCAGCTCTTTAAAGACGACCTTCCCTGCAGCAAAACTAAGAGTGACAATCTCTAACCGTCCAATACTCCGAAAAAAACGCGAAGGAAAAACTCTCTCATATGAGCAATTCAATGTGCATATACCAGTTCAGTCCACCTGCTCGTGAGGAGCTAGGTACATTCGTCGTTGTATTCTCATCCTTTCAAAACGTGTTAGAGAACATTACCCAGCGTGGCTGCAAGGAGGAGGCACCGGTTCAATCAATCAGAAGTGCCATTATTGAACATCTGATCAACACCTCGCACAACATCTTAACTGATTCTTTCAAAGTAATTTTAGAAAGTCAACAGAAACCTACGAAAAGCAGTATGTTTCCGACTAATCTGCACTTCAGAAGCCTTCGCAATATGCATCGGGAAGCCGAAGCTTTGTGTTCAAAAGAAATTAGTCCAACGTCTACAACTACCATGAACTTAGTTCGGTATGTTCCCTTAGCTTCCGTTATTTTTTCTCCTTTCGTTCTATTTTTGATCTTTTTCCTTCTCTGTGTGCGTGTGAATTTTACTCCTTCCGTCTTTATTCGATTCACCCCATTTTTCAGTTATAAAAACAGTTATTTTAAGTTTGTTTCCATGCTTTTCCCATTCACATTTATAATTCGTTTAAAATAACTATTTTACAATTATATCTTAGTCCTGTGGAATTTTTGTGTTTTCAAAGCTCTTGTAATCCATATTCACACCTCTTAACTCTGATCTCAAGTTGAAAATTATTATTGTTACTTCAATTTTGTTTCTTTGCTCGCTCATTTTTTCACATCCTGATTATCCGTCCTGATCCTGTGTGTAATTTTGTTTCTAAGCGTTTCCTCGTAAAAACCATTTATCTAGTTGAAAATAATAATTGTCACCTTTTATTCGTTGTCGTAATTCTGTGTGGAATCAAACAAGAATTGTATCCATTTAAAATTATGTATTTAAATGCGATTGTACAGCTACTTTTGAAAATGAAATCGCCGAAAATATCGTCCGTCATCATGTTCGCTGAACTTCGTGTTCTCTTCTTTTTTAAAATATTGTCCATGGTTATAAAATATCGAGTTTTCAAGCAGAGATTTACTTTCATGAATAATAATAATAATTATTATTGTTCCCTTGGGTTCCTAGTGGAACATAGGGCTTCAACTGCACCTCTTCACTTGCCTCCGTCTTCTGATGTACTTTTCACCTGCATCCATGTTAGTCCATGGCTTAAAGAGTAAATTAATCTTTCTCAAACCTTAGCTGAAACTTGCCAGATAACATAACACTTCGATGAGCATATTTTAATGATGATGACAACATTATTTATTGGTCAGATTTCACTAACTTGCTCAGTGAGCGTTTCAAGATCATTGGTGCGCGGTCGAACTCCATTAGTAGTGAATGGTGCTTAAAGTTTAACTTGGACAACTGAAGAATTGAATAAGTGTCTAAATGGTGATCAATGCCTTGTTTCACTAGGACAGTTTTGAGTGGTTGGACTCACGTCATATCACACATTATAGAGTTATGTTTGCATACTTACAAGCACTTTTCAAGGAAACAGTCTTAAGGAATTTAATTGGTGGATGATGGTGGTGACTAGCAGTGGAATCCAGTCCAGGATAACGAGCATTTCCTCCGTCCTATTTGGGACTCGTGGTCAGCTAACTTGATGTACCTGCATTCCACAGTCAGTGAGTCAGTGATGATGTTCCCACCACCACGGAGGCTCGAACCCAGTGGCCATAGTTTCGAACACCAGCAGTCAAAGCATTATCCGCTAGACCACTTGGGCCACGCCACGAGAGCCACCCCACTGCCTTTTGTGCAACGGGTCATATTAATTGTTTAATTGAATTTTAGAATTTTCCTCTCGATTGATTGGACCGACCGAAGTGCTCGTCGGTGTCAGGTTGACATGTCTGTTGGCTTCTTGTGAAGATGCTTCGACGACGCGATGTCTGGGCATGTAATCGACGGGAAAATCAACTGCGAGAGAAAAAGTGTAATAGGAATGATTCAACACCTGTCCAGTTGGATATCTGGAAAATTCTACTACTCCAATGACGACGAGAAGTAGGAGAGAACAAAGAAAACTATAAAACTTAAGTTTTGAAGTCGTGTGATTATAGTTGATGAAATGATTATGAAGAGCAATAATGAATTGTGTTCGAAACTGTGTCATCCAGTAAGTAATACTAATACTGTTTCACTCACTGACTGTGTGTGTGTGTGATACATCTAATTGTGGTGAGAACTCGCTACTAACCAAAATTGGTAGACAGTATTTTACGTCAATGTTTATGTCCCAAATATTGGTCGTGAGAAAAGTATGAACAAAGACTGATTCAACAAACAACCACACCAGACTTTGCGTGTTCGGATACAATTAGCAGATAGATGATCTGACCTGCAAGAAACAGTCACACAGAGATGAAAGATTAACTTTCAGTGAGAAACAATCAACCAATCAGAAGACTATGTTTTTATGCTAACAATAATCTATAATAATGTACATGAAAATATATAAATATGTGTTGATTTCGTTAATAAAGGATATGTTTGATGGCCACTGTCTTCTGTTGTTACATTTGGTGTCGCTGCCTACCGACAAATGGGAAGCCAATTCCCTGCAGTTTTTGATAGAGACATATGAATGGATCTTCGGGAAGGACTTCAAGGCTTCTTCGCAGTTCAGTGGCTTTCAAGATCTATCAGTGATGAGGGTGTTACTTGAGACGCTGCTGGGAAGGAGGTCGGGAGATAGTAGCATATGAAAGTGTGAGGCAAAATACCGGTGAATGTTCGACAGGGTTAGGCAAACAGTTTCCAAAGTAAGTGGAAAGGACAACATATGGTCACTTTGAGTGAGATGGGGTGTTACGCAGACACAACCGCAATAGTAAACAAAGAGAAACAAGTGAACATCAGCGAGTACCGAGATTCCAGACAACAAGACAAACGAACAAAGTTCCCGGAACCAAGAAGACCGAAGTAACTTCAATCGCAAGTCTTTGACGGGGGGCCATGTGGTAAGAGCTGTCTGTTAGCTAGCCAAATTGCTGGACAGTAATTTACGTCAATGTTCATGTCCCAAATATTGGTCATTGGAAAAGAACAAGAACAAAGACTGACTGACCGACACAACAACCAATGGTGATATGGCTATGAAGAACAATAATGAATTGTGTTCGAAACTGTGTCATCCAGTAAATACTAATACTGTTTCACTCACTGACTGTGCGTGTGATGCATACATGATTTCCAATATTCCTTCCTGGCTTTCTCTAATAATTGCCGGTAGTTGTTTTTTGATAGACTTTGACTTTTCTAGGAATTTCACTGCTCACTGTCTGCTTGACTTCTTCGTTTTCTTTCTTTATTTTATGTTATAGTAGATTACCAATTATCAACAACGTATGATTATACGGATAGTGCACAGAGGAAAAATATAGACAGTCGGGTGTACTATGCAATCATTGCTTTATCCGGCTTACTGTTAGTTCTATTCTTCCCATTCCTCTGCTGGTTCTATGTGAAGGTTAGTTAGTAGTAGTAGTAGTAATAGTAGTCTGATATACTTTTTCAATTGTTAGATTGTTGTTACTAAGTTGTTTTTTTCTCAATCAAATTAACATTTCTGATAATATAGGTTTTGTGTATTTCTCAAAAAAAAACCTTTATTCTAATGATATGAGGTATGCGCTGAAGATGTCACCCAGTAGGGTGATGAAAGCTCCGCAAATTAACCATCCAGCTCAGAGAACAAAACCAAATCAAAATCATCCACCTGAGCTACAAATCTTCTCTATCATATCTAAATCTTACGAGCGGGATCGACAAAATTTATCAACCAATAAGAAAGAAACTTCACACCCAAAGGGTCAAAGGGTATGATAGAGAAGATTTTCTAGCTCAGGTGGATGAATGATTTTGTGTGTGTGTGTGTGTATGTGGTTGTGTTCTTTGAGCTGGTTGCCTGGTTAATTTGTGAAGCTTTCATCGCCCTGCTAGGCAGGCGACATTTTCCTTCAGCGCATACCCTTCAATTTGAATTGTAGTGAGCTTTTAGATTTCTCCACGAGTTCACCATTATTCATCTCTCCTGGTCGGTGACCACCTTGGACGTGACTCTGCTTGTTTTTGTGTGTTTTCACACCTTCTTGGCGGCCACTTGTATCAATATTGAACTGATTGTGTCTTTGACTTGAACTTTCACCCTTTGTGTGTGTGTGTGTGTGTGTGAGGTTTCTTTCTTATCGGTTGGTAAATTTTGTCTATCTCGATGTGTCTATTGATTGATGATTCACTGGGATACCTAACAGGTAGGCTTCTAAAATTTTCCTGCCATTTCGGTGTTACTTCTGTCTAATATTTGAACGTTGGTTGTCCCAGTCGAATTGATGTCCGTCGTTGTCTGTATACAGTGAGACGATATGAGTGAGGGAGTGGATGTCATGTCTTTTGATGGTTAGTTTATGATGATGGGTACGAAGACGAAGAGGAGAGACGTCCACTTTGGCCAATGTAGTGTTTTTCGTAGTTGTTACAGCTTATTATTTAGATGATGTTGGTTTTATCTTCTTTCGCTGTTGAGTCGTTTGGTTGACAACGTTCAAATATTAGACAGACAGAGGAAACAACACAGAGAATCCTGGCGAATTTTTAGAAGCCTACCTGGTAGGTATTCCAGTGGACGAGATGTTCGAATATCGACCAAAGGGCGGGTGTACTGCTCATCAGTCCGCTCCGTCCTGCATTATGGTTGTGAGACCTGGCCACTGAGAGTGGAAGACATGAAAAGGGTGACTAGCTGTCTTTGATCATAGGTGCCTGCGTTCTATTTCCCGTGTAAAGTGGCATAATAAGGTGAGCAATATTGAGGTTAGGCGCTGGTCGAGTTCTAGGTAAACAGGGGAAATCAATCAACGAAGTCGTGAAGTTACAAAGACTGAGATGGTTAGGACATGTGTTACGTATGCCAAGTCATCGCCTTCCTCGTCGAGCAATGTTAGCGGATATAGGGTGAGGCTGGAAAAAAGCTAGCGGCGGTCAAACAAAAACATGTCACCAGTCAATGAAATCTACAACAGTTAGTCTAAGCCACGTAGGAAGGTGTAGACTTCCTGACCGGTTGGGGTCCTCGGGACGGTAAAAATCTATGGTTGGAAACAATTGGTGACATGGCTCAAACTCATCGTTCTCAGTGGCTAGCGCAGATGCATCGACTCCTTGTGACTTATGATCTCCAATGAAACTGTTTTGTTTTTCTTTATTACTCCTTTGTCTGACACCTCTGCTCACTGTTTCTATCATGCTTTCCTTGTACTTTCTTCTCTTGCTTCGCGTGCTACACGGAGTGTGTCGACTTGAACTTCCGCACATTTGTGCAAAGTTCTATGTCGAAAACAGACAGACAGACAGATTCCAGTGGATCATCAATCAATAGACACATCGAGATAGACAAAATTTATCAACCGATTATAAAGAAACCTCACACACACACACACAAAAGGTGAAAGTTCAAGTCAAAGAAACAATCAGTTCAATATCGATACAAGTGGCCGCTTAGAAGGTGTGAAAACACAAAAGCAACCCATCACGTCCAACGTATTTTAAAGTCACATCAGAGAGAAGGATAACCTGTTTAATGTGTTTTTGTGCATTTTCTTGTAAATATGTCACTTTTTGTGCAATATATATTCGTAATATTTATGATTGGTCAGCTGAAGGTTACTTGTGTGTCCGCGCCTTTTGGGACGACGCTCTTGTTGAACTTTGCCAGGCTACGTAGCCCCTGACACTTCCACCGCCTTGTAGATCAGACTTCAAGTTAAAGGCTCGATAAGTGGTTGTGTAAGAAAACCATCTGCTTGTGTCTTTGCGACTGAGGGGGGAAGGGGAGGAGGTAGTATTCCAGCGCCTCTCACAAGCTGTGAGACAGCGATTTGTGTGGCGCGCATCACTTGATGCCGCCGATAATGTACCAAGCTTTTGAAAGTAAATTTTAGTAATAATAATAACAATAATGGTATAATGTTATAAAGTAAACTCTCTGTTTTGATTGGAAATTCTACATATGTTCTAGTGACGAATACCGAATAATACCGAATGCTGTTTAAATTGATATTGCATGGAGGATTTCATCATGAGGTCGCATCAGTTAGAGAACCACTGGAAAACCTGGGAGTACTGGACAGCTGTTTCCCCCGTCCTAGTTTGAGACCGACTACTATTCAGGGGATGGTGTTCTTGCACCCTCTTGGACAAAACTCGAGACGAACGACCGATATACTTAGCTCCACACGAGCAGGTGAATTGATAAACACAGACACACACACACACACACACATACATAGAGTTGGTCAACAGCGGGATCTTGTCCTTCAGGTTATTGAACAACATTAATGGTCGACTAGTGTAAACGCTATTCTCAAAGATTCAGCAGGGAATGTTCTTTTCAGGGACTGTGTGATATCCTTCGTTTCATAATATTGGAATCTAAGTAGCCCCCTTTGAATTCCAAGCTCATGTAAAGTATTATCTTGGGTAGGATGTGAATGTATATTCTTATCAATCAAAAACGTGGTGAAAATCCATTTTCTATTAAGATTTTCCTAAAAAAAGATACAATTAATCGCCAAGATTCTTCTTCCTACAGGAGAGTGTACATATGTCTTCTACACTACCTGTATGAACTGGTTTCTTGGTTTGCTTCCGTATTAGTAAACTTACCACCGGTTACGGACCACCGTCTGTCTGTCTGGATTCAGCATAGAACTTGGCACCGAAGTGCACCAGTTCGAGTTGCCACCTTCCAAATAACACACAGAGGTAGACAAGAAGATGAGTGAAGAGAATCAATACAGTCTGACAAGTATAAGAGTGAAACAGAATGGGTAATGGTAGAAAGGAATATGAAAGATTACAGAGACTGAATACATGTGCGCTGGCCATTGACAACAATTTTGAGCCATGTCACCTATTGTCTCCAGCCATTGATTCCTCGAGTAGTCCCGAGGGCCCCAACCCGGGAGTCTGCATCTCCCTACCTGACTCAGTTTAACTGTCAAGGATTTAATGGGTTGATGAGGCCATGTTTTTGTTTGGCCACCACTGGCTCTTTTCCAACCTGAACCTATATCAGCTAGTAATGTCCGTCGTCGGGGGAGGCGATGGTTAGGCATGCGCAGCACGTCACCTAGCCATCTCAATCTATGTAACTTTGTGCTCTCGTCGATTGATTTTCCCTCTTTGCCCAACACTACGCCTAACGTCAACATTACTTACCTTGTGAAACCACCTAACGTGAGACAGAGATCGCAGACATCTATGATCGAAAGCACTCAACCTTTTCATGTCTTCAACTCGTATTGGCCATGTTTCAGAGCCATAGAGAAGGACAGAGCGAACTGATGAGCAGTACACACGTCCCTTGGTTGATAGCCAGCTGGATGTCACGCCTACGCCAGAGATGGTGTAAGTCAACGAAAGCAGCTCGAGCTTTTCGGATCCGTGCTGAGATTTCATCGCCAATCAGTCCGTTGGTGCTCATACAACTTCCCAAATAGGTGAAGTGGTCAACATGTTCTATCACTTCACTCCCTATCACTAAGTTAGGGGTTGACGTAGTCCAGTCCTGTAGCAGCATCTTACATTTGACAGCAGGGGCGAATCGCATGCCAAACATACGAAGATTGCTGGTCAAGGTGTTCAGAATACTCTGCATTTTGTCAGCATCCTCCCCTAACAGGACTATGTCATCTGCATATTCTAAGTCCATAAGACTATTCCCTGGTAACAAGTCGATTCCTAAGTCATTACGTTCAGTTAAGGATACTTCCATTAGCATATCTATGATGAAGTTAAACAGAAATGGGGAAAGTGGACATCCCTGTCGGACACCACTGGTTGTTGCCAATACAGATGACAATTCCCCATAAGCCCTTACACGGCTATATGAGTTTGAACAGAGTGCCTTGATTAGTGCAATGTACTTTCTTGGCACTCCCTTCACAGTCAGACATTGCCATAGTACTTTTCGATCCACGGAGTCGAAGACCGCCTTCAAGTCAAGAAATATGGCAATTCGGACTACCGTAGGTGGGGTAAGTCGGGATGTACAATTTTTGGATTCGACGTTTTCTAACCCACTCTGTCTCTCTCCCTCTCTCTCAAGAGTGGAGAGACAGCATAGCATGCTGGCTGGCTGGTATGCTGGTCATCTGAAGAAAAAAACACCTCACTGCGGCTGTTACATCCTTGTTCCCCAGCAGTGTACGACTTCGCCCACAGACCCCTAGCATAGTGTCAGAAAGATTCTTTCACTATTCCGGTAACTGCTTTTAATCTAATCGCTATCTCCTAACAACCTTCCTGGCATGATAAGTAGGACCTGCAAGAACATTGATTCCAGCCAGTACAGCTTGTTGGGTCATTGCGATGTGCAAACCCCAGCACCACCATCCCGTCGATGTAGCAGCCATCGGTAGCAGCTGCCTAACAACCATCTTTCAGTAAATATTCCATCTTGTATGTGGCTGACTAAGAAAATGTTTTATTATTCGACACTGTTAACATTTTTTAATTCCAATATATTTTAAATATTAAAAAATTGTTTGTTTACGGTTTACATTTGATAAATAAAAATATCTTTTTTTTCAAAAATTTATTTTATTTACCATGCTGTGTGTCATGTGTTGTTTGTTGTCAGCATCTTATTAAAAGTGAACGAATCATTGTCTTTCGACTTGGTAAGAGAATGAAAACTAAAGGTCCAGGTATGTTGAAAATATTATTATTATTTTTGATTTTACGACTAAAAGAAAGTTTTTATAATTTATGTAATTCCATATTAGTTTGTTTATTAGATGTATCACACACACAGCCAGTCAGTGAAACAGTATTAGTATTTACTTAGTGGATGACAGATTAGAACACAATCCCACTTATTGCTGTTCATTATCATACACATCACCAATTATAATCACACGACTTCGAAACTTGACTTGTATAGTTTTCTTTGTTCTCTCCAAAGCCTCAGGATGGTCGGGGGTGGATGCCTTGCGCTACTGCGGGTTGGCCATCCCGCACCTCCGTACACCTTTTAAAATGCTTCCATATATGACCGGGCGTCTTACATAGCCTGTCTTGGGGAAGTCCTCAGTCCTCACTGCCTTCACGTGGCGGTGTTTTTTTTTCACCGAAGTGAGAGGGCAAAAGCGGATGCCTGGCGCTCTTCACCGGGTTGACTGTCTATTTGATGACAGACAGTCTAGGGGAGATGGCTAAACCCTGATTCCAAACCTCCAATGACTGGCGTATGAAGCTCACCGGCAGACGTATGGACAAACGGCTTATTGGATGCCCTGGATGTCAGGCCCCATTGAAAAAGGCGTATGAAGCGGACTCCGGTCACCGGCTGGCTTCCAATGGATAGTGGACTCCCTACTCCACTCCTACTGCCTTGTAGGAGGTCACACTTGGTTGGTTGTGTAAAGGTTAGAGCTGCACTCTCAAACAAAAGGCCGAGCGATGCTGGGGGGACATCACTCGTACCTGATTCCCATGAAACTTCATGAACTCTGGTTGCTACAACATCAACCAAATTCCAGTACTGTGGGTCCAACAACGTCGCCTTCGGTGGTTTGGCCATGTTCTGAGCCGACCAGATGACGATCTGGTCAAATCAGTCAAATCTAAATCCCTCTCCATTTCCATTTTATCTTGGCGATGTCGCATGGGGAGGGTGGACAGCTGAAAACACATGGCTTGGTACAGTCAGTCAAGGGTGATATGGAGTGACTGGGCTGGAGCTACAAACCGTCTACGGACTCCGTCTGTGGAACAATAATTGGATAACCCTGTCGCAAAACCTTGCAGTCTGAGCAGCGATGATTCGAGATGTTCATGAAGCCGGCTCATCCTCCCTTAGGAGATAGCCGAAGTAAAGTAAGTAAGTTTGTTCTCTCCTATTTGTCGTCATCATTGGAGTGGTAGTAGAATTTTCCAGATATCTGACTGTATATATAGTGGTCTATTATTGAGTAATAGCAGTGGGAAGGGGTGACATAATTGATATAATTACTCAGAAGTGGCTGTAGAAGTAAAAAATAAATAAAAGTTGTAAATTACGTGGTACTCAACGGTACATAGATAGAAATTTGATAAGGTTAAAATTGCTATTGAGTGATAGAGAATAAAGGTGTGGTAGTTGAGTGTCAATTTAATAAGTGTGTCAAGAGGGTATGAAAATGTACAACAGGGAGCATAGCATGCTACTGCCAAATGGCTTGCAGGCATCCTCCTATCTATCAGAAATAACCTCTGCAAGCATAGTGTTTCTGATTCGTTTGAATTCGTCGATTCAATAAGTGGTGCTAATGTATCCGGGAAGAAAATGATATCCATGGATGTTTCACGCCCCTCTTCATCAATGTTCCCCTCACTGAAACAATCTGCTTTATATGCAAATTCATTGAGGATAATAATGTAGACGTGTGTGTTCCAATCCACTACTTAAAGGAACTACTGTTGAGGTGCACTTTAACTGTCCGATTCAAGTTCAACAACACAATTTTTAGACAAAGAAATGGAGTGGCAATGGGGTCACCATTGAGTCACTTACTTGCAGACTGCTTCTTGACAAGTAAGTTTGGAGAATAGTATTTTAGGGCCTACTATTGATAGTTTCCATTTGTACCAAATAAACATAGATGATACTTTCATCATATGTGACGACAATACCGACATCGAATTGATAGCTAACAAGTTCAACAGCTGCCATCATACCGTCAACTTTACGTCGGAATCAGAGATTAACTCGGAATTCCATTTTTTGGATGTTTTTCTAAAGAGGAGATCTGATGGTTCTCTTCAAAGATCGATCTACAGGAAACCGACATGGAATGCTCAGTACACAAATTTTCATAGTTGGGTCTCTTTGAGAAGAAAGAGAAATCTGATCCACTCCTTATCCTCAAGAATAAGGAGGATATGTTCAAGTGATACAATCGATGGGGAAATGGGGTAACTCAGACAAGTCCTCACAGAGAATGGATATCCTCCAAGAGATATCGAGAAAAACATGAAGTTAAGAGAAAAGACTGAAAGAATCCAGATGGTTCCAAAGAAACTGCTATTTATGAGTGTTGAATTTAAAGGTGATACCGCAGCTAAAATCCCGAAGAATCGCTGCTTATACAGATCATTGAGGAAAGCCTTCTTTATGGCTGAGCTATGTACATATCAATTTCTACAACCGACAAATGATCAATGGATGTATGAAGGATAATCTGACGCTTGATTCTCTAACCAAAGTCAGCGCTCATGATGGAATCCTGTAACCAATAAACTTGTTAGAATTTACAATTGTCAGGGGATCGATCGTCTTGTATACCTGTTTTTGTTTATTAATGTTGTTATTGTTGCTAGAACCAATCGCCCAACAAATATGCAGGAGAAAGTGGATGGTGATGGATCGGTCACTCGCCGAAGAGACCGCTGGGTGACATCGCGCGTCAAGCCCTTGAGTGGAACCCGAAAGGGAAGCGGCGTGTGGGACGTCCAAGGGTGACATGCAGGAGGAGATCGTGTGAAGAGGAGTTGAGACAGTATGGAATAACATGGATTCAGGTGAAAAGTACAGCAGACGGAAGACAGAAGCAAATGGAGACGTGCAGTTGAAGCCCTATGTTCCACTAGGAGGAACCCTAGGGTGGTGCAATAATAATATAATAATAGTGTTGTTATTGTTGCTTGGTTTTCTTCTTTTGTAGGCTGGGTATTTATGCTGCCTATATGTGACCGTTTTCATCGAATCACTCTTGACGATCAAACAGTGAAAATAAAACCGGTATCTGTGAGTTTACTGTGTGTTTACTTCAATCAACTATTATGACTTTGATCATAGGTGCCTGCGCTCTATTTCCCGTGTAAAGTGGCATAATAAGGTGAGCAACATTGAGGTTAGGCGTCGAGTTCTAGGTAAACAGGGGAAATCAATCGACGAAGTCGTGAAGTTACAAAGACTGAGATGATTAGGACATGTGTTACGTATGCCAAGCCCATCGCCTCCCTCGTCGAGCAATGTTAGCGGATATAGGGCCAGGCTAGAAAGAAGCTAGCGGCGGTCAAACAAAAACTTGGCTTAACCAGTCAATGAAATCCACAACAGTTGGTCTAAGCCACGTAGGAAGGTGTAGACTTCCTGACCGGTTGGGGTCATCGGGACGGTAAAAATCCATGGTTGGAAACAATTGGTGACATGGCTCAAACTCATCGTTCTCAGTGGCTAGCGCAGATGCATCGACTCCTTGTGACTTATGATTTCCAATGAAACTGTTTTGTTCTTCGTTATTACTCCTCCTTTGTCTGACACCTCTGCTCACTGTTTCTATTATGCTTTCCTTGTACTTTCTTCTCTTGCTTCGCATGCTACACGGAGTGTGGCGACTTGAACTGGCGCACATTTGTGCAAAGTTCTATGTCGAAAACAGACAGATAGACAACTATTATGACTGATTGACTAACTGACTGATCGGTTGAGTTTCGACGTAGAGAAATGCAATACTTCAAATTGCCATACTCTTTGTAGCACACAGAGGTGAAAAAGAGACTGTCTGTCTGTCTGTTTTCGTTATAGATGTGCACCATTTCAAATCGCCACACCCTACTCCTTGTACCACACAAAGCAAGAGAAGAAAGTAGAAGAAATGCATAATAGAGAGAGACAGTAAACAGAGGTGTGAGACAACAAAGGAATAGTACTAACGAAGAACGATATAGTTTCATTGGAAATTATAAGTCACAAGGAGTCGATGCATCTGCGCTAGCTAGCCTTTGAGAACGATCACTTTGAGCCAGCCATATCACCAATTGTTTCCAGCCTTCATTGGTTCCTACCGTCTCGAGGACCCCAACCAGTGAGTCAGGAAGTCTACACCTTCCTATGTGGCTGGCTGGTTGGCTTCAACTAACTGTTGTGGATTTCATTGACTGGTGAAGCCATGTTATGGTTCGACCGCCGACAGCTAGCTCTTTTCCAACCTGACCTTATGTCAGCCAGCTAACATTGCCCGTCAGTCAAGCAAGGCGATGACTAGGCGTGCATGCGTAACGCATGTCCTAACCATCTCAGTCGATGTAATTTCACAGCCTCATTGTCGATTGATTTCTCCTCCCACCTACCTAGCACTAGACCGATGGCTAACCTCAATATTGCTCACCTTGTTATACCCCTTCACACGGCAGATAGAACGCAGGCACCTATAATCAAATATAGTTGGCTATCCTTTTCATATCTTCCACTCTCAATGGCCAAGTAACACAGACAGCCATAAAGGAGGACGGAGCGGACTGCTTGGCTGAGCAGTACACCCGCCCTTTGTTCGACAACCAGTCAGCCGGATATCATGTCTACTAAGTCAGAGACTGGGTAAACTGGCATATACGAAACTAGCCCTCTGTATCCGTGCGGAGATGTTTCACTAGGAACCCAATGGAATAATAATAGTTAATTATTATATAATCTGAGCTGGTTGATTTAATTTGCATGCAAAGCTTTCGTCATCCTTCTCGTCAACATCTTTAGCTCAGGTTTTAGTATGGAATAAACTCATCATTTGTATTCTCCATGAATGTGATATAATTGTGTCTCATATATGTGTAAAACTTGGGCACTGTGGTAGTAAGTAATTCTATATTAGTTTGTTTATTAGATGTATCACACAGTGAGTGAAACAGTATTGTATACTGGATGACGAGGTTTCGAACACAATTTATTGCTGTTCATAATCATATCAGTTGTGGTCACACGACTTTGAGATTTGAGTTTTATAGTTTTCTTTGTCGTCTCCTATTTGTCGTATGGGCAGTAGAATTTTCCACATATCCGGTTGGACAGGTGTCGTATCGTTTCTATTACATGTATTTGCCGTTGATTCGATAAATAGAAGCTTCTGTTTATCGAATCAAGGTGTTAGTTGAGTGTAAACTTAACAAGTGTGTCGAGAGGGTGTGAAAATGCACAACAGGGGGAGCATATGAAAGTGATATAATAGTGAATTAATTGTTAAAGGAAAAGCAAAAGTAAAGTAAAGTTGAAAATTAAAAATAAAATCTTTCGCAGGGAACGACTAGTGAAGAGATTAAGTCCAAGGTAGAATAAGAGACTGGTCAAACTTTTTGTCTGTATACAGAGTTCAGGGTTGTATTGGCAATTGTCAGTGTCTCCGTCACACACAAAAGTCGAAACCCGACACCCCTTGTACCATTTAGCTTCACCTTGTAGATGATCTTGAAAGACAACTCTGGTGGAGCTACTGTTATGTACTCGTTAAGTAGTTAATTAATAGTACTGACGCAGAAAGAGGGAAATCAGAAGACCACCAGGTTTACGATGATACTTATATTTTCCAGACAAGGGAAATAATGGCTGTCACACAAGTGTGTGAGTGAAATGGTACGAATATACGAATGTATGATAGAGAAGATTTGTAGCTCAGGTGGATAATTTTGATGTGGTTTTGTTCTCTGAGCTGGATAGTTAGTTTGCAAACTAACTATCCAGCTCAGAGAACAAAACCACATCAAAATATACGAATGTGTGTACAAGAATGATAAAGCAAGAGTATATATGAAAATGGCTAATACACATGAACCAATAAATAGCCAGTCTTAACATGACTGGTTGTAGTGTCATGTGACAACAAGGTCATACATGTTTATTTAGTTAATGGACAGACAAAAGCACATTGTCAGTAATAATGAAATATCGATCCATATACACATAGCAAAATATAATAGACTGTCAAAAACAAATCACACACATCATGTGGATACACATCAGCTACGTGGCCTGAGCTCACCAAATACTTGAGAATTGCGCTAGTAATCGTCTTGCATTGTCCTTTTTCTAACCATGCGGGATAATGTTTAGAGATGCGTTTGGAAATTGTGCGCCAAATTGTCTGGGCGGCCATTATAATTAGCTACACACAAGCAGGTGAATTTATAAACACACACACACACATTGAAGTGGCCTGTCCAAAGCGTCAGTTCATCCTTCACGCATCCATTGATCATTTGCCGGCTGTAGAAATGGATACGTACATAGCTCAGCCATAAAGAAGGCCTTCCTCAGTGATCTGTATGGGCAGCGATTCTTCAGGATTTTAGCTGCCGTATCACACCTTTAAATTCAACACTCACCAATACCTGAAAATTAATTTGTTAAATCAAAAGCAAACTAAAAGTAACATTTAAAAAATGGAGAGAAAAAATCAAAATTTTTTCACAGGCAATAACTAGTGAACATTGACGTAAATTACTATCTAGCAGACAGTTCTCCTCAGAATACTACGGTTCTCTTGTAATCGCTGCAATTTTTCACACTTACTGACAGCGACAAGCAGTGTGGAAACAGGCATAAAATTGACCCTCACGAAAGGTCGTCCAAGGATGACTTGGAGGAAGTCATATGAAAAGGAGATGAAAGCATGTGAGCAGACCTGGAGCCAGGTGAAAACTTTAGCAGAGAACCGAACGCAATGGAGACGTGAGCGACTGAAGCCCTATGTTCCTCTAGGAATTAAAGGAAATAATAGTGTTTAATAATAAGTGTTTATCCTATTTCATCTCAGTTCATTTCATTGTGATAAAATATTAAACTTTTCTCTCCTAAAAGGGTGGTACACAAGATGAGGCGGTTGTTGAAGTGACTTGTTCGTCAACATTCTATCTCCTTGAACCAGAATATGCATTCAGTATGACAAGTAAAAGTCCTGTGGAGATTGTTTCAACACAAACTCAGTTGTGCGTTCTTTCAGCACTTTCCCACTTAGAATGGAATTACTTGGAACATGGGAATGCTAAAGTAGACTTGGCTAATGAAACAAAGGTAATGTTTAAAATATTATGTAAGCATGATTACATCATATATATATATATTGCTTACTTTGTGTGTTTATGGAATATTGTATAGATGGTTTTTATTTCTGGGCTGCCAACATTATCAAAGTCGATTTTTTTCGGTGAGTATTTGTCCTCACAACCCCTACCTGCTGCACCCTACTGGTCACGACTTCCCATTGGAACCCCAGGTAACTACCTACATGAATAGGGCCAGTCGCTAGTGAGCATTTCATTGATATTCAAGTGTTGGTTTGTGGGGATTTGATTGGTTTCAGGATTTCATCATGAGCTGACATTGGTTAGAGAACCATTGGAAATCCAGTCAAGGAGCACTGGACAACCTCTTTCATCCTAGTTTGAAAACTGTCTTCAACATCTGACTTCTATGTAGAAAATGTGGACTGTAGTGTGTAGTCAAGATCCCTTTGTCCTTGCATATAACTGTTCTACTTTCAATGTCATTCCTTCGATTACTGTCAATGATTTCGTCTATTACACTCTCCTACTTTTATTTGAACAAAGCAAGAAATACAGTGGTTTTAACAGAATTAACTGGTGTCATCATTGCTTATTTCGTTGCCTTCTCGTCAGTTCCTTACAGGCCAAAGACACATTAATTAATAAATCTATAAAAACTATTTTAACCTGTGGTGAGAGCAGTCTGCTAGCCAATTGGTTGACATTAATCTACGTCAATGTCTAGGTCACTAATATGGGCCATGAGAAAAAATATGAACAAGGTTGTTTCAACAACCAATCACAGCAAACTTAAACGTGGGCAAATATGATTCGTAGATAGATGGCTCCACTCCACTTTCCGAGGAACTCAAAAACAACCAATCAGAAGACTGCGTTTGTCTACTTGACTAGGCTATAATAATGTATGTGAAATTTATATATAAATACGTGTTGATTTCCGTAATAAAAGGATCTGTTGCCTGGCCCTTGTCTTCTGTTGTTACAAACCTACTTGCACAGAGTTCATTTGAAACGAAAATCAACTAATCGATCAATATATGCATACAGTCATAATATATACTTATGTATATATGTAATAGTAAACACTCTTCTAAAGAATAATAATCATACACAATGGAAACTTTACAGTATTACTCATTCAAATAAAAGAGAGATAAAAACATCCACTTACCAAGACAAAGAAAGACTGTTAACTGTTTCTACTCTGTGAACGCTTAAATCAGATTTCCGGCGCTTGATGGATGGTTATAGCTTCAGCAAACTTAAGGAGAATTTGAGCTCTTTTGCCTATTGACAATTTTGAACGACTTTTCAACGTCTACTTCATGACCGACCCGTGTCAGGAAGATACCTGGCTGGCGATAGATGGCACTGTTTAAAGCATTTGTCCCCCTCCCCCCTTTAGGCATACACTTTTTGGTACATTTTCCGAAAATCGTAGATACGCCCATCTTTCTTTCTGTCCTTTCAATGTAACTGCTCCACCAGATATTTTGTTATAAAAAATTAGTTTCTAATATATAATAAAACGTGGACAATCGTCAACGGATTTTCAACTCCAATGTAAAGTCAGTGCTACTCACTATACGGATCAGAGACTTGGCCAGCGCGTCATGAAGAGCACCTCAAACAAACTTCAGACCTTCATTAACAGCTGTCTTCGCTCAATATCACTCAAGATCAGATGGCCAGCCGGCCAGAAAAGATCAGCAACAGCGATCTCTGGCAATGAGCGAACCAATCAGGAACCGATTGTGAAAGAAATAGGCAGGAAGAAATGGAGATGGATTGGCCGGCCATACTCTGAGGGAACAATCAAGTGACTGGGATCACTAGACAAGCCATTGCTCTAGTGGAACCCGAAAGGGAAGCGGGTGACGAGTTGGTCGTCAGTGCAAGGGTGACTTGGAGGAGGTCATGTGAACAGGAGGAGATGAAAGCATGTGGACAGACCTGGAGCGGAGTGAAAAAGTGTGGCAGAAAAGAGAAGGCAATGGAGGTGCGTAGCTGAAGCCCTATGTTCCTCTAGGAACTAAAGGATATAATAATAAAATATATATAAAACGTGAAAGCAATGCAATGACATTTTCTGTTTTAGCAACGTAGAAAATAAAATATTTATCGCCCAGATTAAAACCCTTCGGACGATTAAAACACCTCGACACTGGCCATTTACCATGCTTCGTTAGGTGGTTGGAGGCAATCGGCCACAGGAAGCCTTGCTTTACCTACGCGTTTCGTGCTAGTTAGAACTCACCAGTCAGTCAGTCAGAAAGGCCTATCTACAACCACACTGAAGGAACAGCTCATGTCCCATGCATCTGAGTTTCAAACACGCGACACTCAGTGAGTACTGAAGTCAGAGACGTTATCACTGATGAACTACTGGGACGCTTACGATTGACCTCCTGTAGGACTGACTGTATTGGATATTATTTTTGATTGGACACTACTCGATAACTAGTGTGATGTGTCTAGTCCTTTCTTTTATGCAGACTGCTATGAAACGAAGGATATCACACAGTCCCTGAAAAGAACATTCCCTGCTGCATCTCTGAGAATAGCTTTTACTAGCCGACCATTATTGTTGTTCAATAACCTGAAGGACAAGATCCCATTGTTGACCAACTCTGTGTGTGTGTGTGTTTATCAATTCACCGGCTCTTGTGGAGCTAGGTATATTGGTCGTTCGACTCGAGTTTTGTCCAAGAGGGTGCAAGAACACTATCCTGCATGATGGCTACGAAAAGGTGGAAGTGGAGCAATAAGAAGCGCGATCACTGAACATCTGGTCGATAATGATCACCCTATCTCTATAGCCTCGGCCTTTAAAGTTATCTACAAGGCAAAGAGCAATCTACCCAAATCCCTACGTACACGACTCATCTGTATTGCTGAAGCCATCTTTGGCTATCGAAACAGAAAAGCCAGATCTCTGTGTACAGAAAAGGTTCGTTCAACCCCTCCAACCTTCATGGTCTTAATCCCTCTATGCTAAAATATGGTAATCCCCAATCATATTTTAGCTCTACCAATTTTTCATTTTGTCTATTCAATTTGTATACTCTTCCTTATTAAGTCAATTGTTATTATTATTATTATTACTATTCTCACTTTGAACTGTCCCCGGTATTATTTTACCGGTATTGTTCCACTTGTCATTCTAAATCAATTCCTCTTTTTTACAACGATAAATTCTATGCTATTAAATTTCACACAATAAATATTACGTAACGTTTTTGTTTCATTCGATTTGTCTACTAATCCTATAATTGCACACCCCCTTTTTTCAAGTTCTATCCCTCCTATGATTTCTATCAGTCAAGTTTGCAGGAGTAGACACATTACACTTGTTACTGAGTAAGTGTCCAATTAAAAATAATATCTAATACAGTCAGTCCTACAGGAGGTCAATCGTAAGCGTCCCAGTAGTTCATCAGTGATAACGTCTCTGACTTCAGTACTCACTGGGTGTCGCGTGTTTGGAACTCAGAAGGGATATTGGATCTGTTTGAGGTTGCAGAGATGCCTTACTGATGAGAGTGCCAACCAGCACGAAACGCGTAGGTTAAGCAAGGCTTCCTCTGGCCGATTGTCTCCAACTCTCTTATACCAACAATTATATATATATATATATTCGTTCAATCATTCCTTATGTAATCACTGAAACATCTGATCCGTTGAATCAAAAGGTGGATGATATGTAGACACTAAGTTATTTCATCATCATCACAAGTTCGATTTTTGCAGAAAAGCCGGTGTGTATGTATTACTCTTTTCAAACGGTGGAACATTAGACTGAAAAGAACAAGAAGTCCTGCAAAGATGGCAATGTTTTCGGTGATTTTCTTCTCAAAAGTAGCTGTACAATCGCATTTATATACAAGATTAGTTTACCTGGATACAATTATTATTTATTTGTTTAATTAATTCAACATAGTAACGAAGGTGATAATTATTTTTCAACTTGATATAAAAGTTTGAAGGTTCGAATATGGATTAAAAGAGGGGCTTAGAGGCAAGATTGCATAGGATTAGAAAAAAACACTTACAACGTATACAAAATTAATATTTGTTAACTGGAGAAATAATAATTTTTAAGACGAATCAAAGGTGATAATTGTTTTCAACTTGATGATATGAATTACAAGAGGCTTAGAGACACAGGGATAGAACGAATTACAGGTGTGAACAAAATGAGCATGGAAACAAATTGAAATCAAAACTTTTTTGAACTTGAAATGTAAGTGTGTGTGAATATAGATTACAAGAAGCATAGAAACAAAAAAATTACACAGGATTAGAATATAATTGTAAGATGGTCATTCTAAACGGATTACAAGTGTGATCAGGAGGAGCATGGAAACAAACCTAAAATAACTGATTTTATAATTGAAAAAAAAATTGGGATGAATTGAATGCAGACAAGGAGAGAAAATTACACACACACAGAGAACAAAACAAAACAAAAAAATGAAGGATAAGGGAACATACCGAACTAGGTCCATGGTAGTTGTAAAAGCTGGACTAGTTTCTTTTGAACGCTTTTGAAGCTCCGGCTTTTCGATGCATATAGCGAGAGCTTCCGCAGTACAAAGAAGTCGGAAATACACTGACTGCCTTTGATAGATTTTTGTTTACTTTGTAAATGACTTTAAATGATGAGTCAGTTGAGATTCTGCGACAGGTAGGTAGTGACGAGGTGTTCAGCTATTACGCTTCTGATTGAACCAGTGCCTCCTCTTTGCAGCCATGCTGGATGATGTTCACTAACACGTTTTGATAAGACCCGCATAGAACGACCTATGTACCTAGCTGCTGAAGAGCAGGTGAACTGATATATGCACATTGAAGTGGTCATATGCAGAAGGAAGTCTGTCCTTCCCGTTGGTCCGAGGTAGTAAGTAGGCGGCTAGAGAATATCACTCTTAGAGTTGCTGCATACTTTGTTACTATGTGGAATTAATTAAACAAATAATAACAATTGTATCCAGGTAAACTAATCTTGTATATAAATGCGATTGTACAGCTGCTTTTGAGAATAAAATCGCCGAAAACATCGCCATCTTTGCAGGACTTCTTGTTCTTTTGAATCTATGTTTTATTTCTCCAGGTGGATTATTTCTTATGTTGTCGGCCAAGTTAAACTTTATTATTATTATTGTATCCTTTAGTTCCTAGAGGAACATAGGGCTTCAGCTGCCCACCTCCATTGCCTTCGGTTTTCTGACAACTTTTTCACCCCGCTCCAGGTCTGTCCACATGCTTTCATCTCCTCCTGTTCACATGACCTCCTCCAAGTCACCCTTGCACTGACGACCAACTCGTCACCCGCTTCCCTTTCGGGTTCCACTAGAGCAATGGCTTGTCTAGTGATCCCAGTCACTTGATTGTTCCCTCAGAGTATGGCCGGCCAATCCATCTCCATTTCTTCCTGCCTATTTCTTTCACAATCGGTTCCTGATTGGTTCGCTCATTGCCAGAGATCGCTGTTGCTGATCTTTTCTGGCCGGCTGGCCATCTGATCTTGAGTGATATTGAGCGAAGACAGCTGTTAATGAAGGTCTGAAGTTTGTTTGAGGTGCTCTTCATGACGCGCTGGCCAAGTCTCTGATCCGTATAGTGAGTAGCACTGACTTTACATTGGAGTTGAAAATCCGGATCTTATTTTTGATGCTGAATAGTTCTGTTGACCTCCACACAGATTTGAGAGTAATGAAAGCTTGTCTTGCTTTTCCGATTCTGGCTTTGATATCCTCGTCAGTTCCGCCTGTTAAACTTTAAGCACCACTAACTCTAATCTACCAGTGGATTTCAACCGCGCACCAGTGAACTTGAAACGCTCGCCAAGCAAGTTAGTGAAATCTGGCCGATAAATAATGTTGTCGTCATCAATAAAATAATGCTCATCGAAGTATTATGGTATCTATTAAATGGGATATCTGGCAAGTTTCAGCTTAGGTGGTATGTGAAAGATTCAGTTACCTCTTTAAGCCAAGGACAAGTTCAGGGTTAGGTTGACCTAGTGAAGGCGACATTAGGGTGTTGGTTCGAGTTAGATTACAGTTAGTTTCGGGATATTTTCACGGATTAGGGTTAGGTTAGGTTCAGGAAAGATTCGGGTTATTGTTACTTGGGTTACCTAAATAATTACAAGCATAGAATGTGGTTAAAAAAATTACTTTGTTGATATAAGAATAGAACTTGGACATTGTAGTTGTGGTAGAGTATAATTCCAGTGTGTAGGTAAAATTTTTTCTGATAAAGTCTCACAGTGTTATACAGTGAGTAAGTAATATTCACTGATGACTAAGTTTTGAGGACAATTTATTGCCCAGGAAATATTACTGTATAACGCAATGTGAGACTTAATCGAAAAAAAATGTTACCCACAATGGAATTATACTCCGTGGATACTCTAAACTGAACCCGATAACTACTTACATCACATGTGAGAGGAAGGTATCCTCTCTGTAACACGTTTCTGTAACACTCACTATACTCAGCGTCAACAACAAAATTCGGTCGGATTTTCAATACAAACACGTCAAGTCAGTCAGCTCTTCTATACGGAACGGATCAGAAAGTTGGCCGACGGGTCACAAAGAATATTTCCAACAGCCTGTTACAGATCTTTATCAATAACTAACTGTCTTCGCTCTATACTGAAGATCAGATATGGCCGGGCCGGAAAGAATCACCAACAACAAGAAACTATGGCTGGGAACAAACAGAACAAGAACCAATCGCCCAACAACAACAAAAATGCAGGAGAAAGTGGATGGTGATGGATTGGGCACTCACTGAGGAGACCGCGCGCTGGGTGACATCGCGCGCGCGTCAGGCCATTGCTCGAGTGGAACCAAGCCGAAAGGAAAGCGGCGAGTGGGTCGTGAGTGCAAGGATGACATGGAGGAGGAGATCGTGTGAAGAGGAGTTGAGACAGTATGGAATAACATGGATGATGCAGGTGAAAAGTACAGCAGACGGAAGACAGAAGCAAGTGGAGACGTGCAGTTGAAGTCCTATATTCCACTAGGAACCCATGAATATATGTATTCCATACGGAAAAATGCCTCCTTCAAGTGATTGATGCGTTCAACGTCTTTCACTATGATTGGTAGTTACTTTGTGGTGCTTAAAGCTTAAATTTGCCATATTGTTATACTTCCCTAATCCCCTTTCTCTGAGTTATTCATCACTCTGGGTCAATAAAACGATTTGCGTCTACATAAAGTCAACATGGACGGGACAGTATCTAAATTATCATAGTTTCTGTCCACTACAGTATAAAATGGCGTTGGTTAAATGTTTGTTCAAGCGCTTTCATTCACCGTGTATGCACTGGTGATACAATTGAAGAAGAAAGACAACACCTCACTGAAATATTGCTAGATAACTATTACCCATTTATTTATCATTATTATTATTATTAGACATTATGGAAGTGTCAACAAACATAGAGCTTTACTACTCCAATCAGCTCCCAAAAAAGGGATGTTTACATATCCTCGCCGTTCAGAGGTGATCAACAAAGTCTAGTCACTAGACAAAGACTTAAGGCCGCAATCAATAGAACCTGTTGCAAACAGAACCTATGCAGCTAAACTTATCTTTATAGAGAAAACAACAACCACGCTGTCCTGTAGACCCTCACATTATCCGAACGATAGTGTCACATCCCACTGTGTTTATCAATTTACATGTATGTGTGGAGGGAGACACGTACATAGGGAGGACCCATCGGTCTCTGCAGGTTAGGGCTACAGAACACACTCCAAAGTGGCTGTAAAAACAACAAATAAAATCACCAGACACAATTCAACCCGGAAATAGATGTCCAACATCATCTATAGCGAAGCACATTGTAGAGACGGGTCATAAGGTTGATTTCAACAATGCCTTTAAGCCGATATATAAAACAAGGTTGGGCCAAAATACTTAAATTCATTGAAGCCTTAGCCATAAAAAGACTTAAACCTGTCTGTCTTATGTGTCCAAGAGTTATTAGTTGTCACCTTAAACCTTCCTTGGTAATCCAACTTAGAACCGAGGATGAATTTACTTCATAACATTTTCAACCCCTTCTTTGCCTTGTTTTCTTCTCTTTTTATCTTTCTCACCCACACCTTTTGCGTCTCCCTACCCATTATTTTTTGACCTTTACCTGTACACAATCTGACCTGTATTGTAATTATTCATGCCTTGTTGCCTTCTATTAAAACTGTATGACAAGTATTCGTGTGTGTGTGTGTGTGTGATCAGAATATCCGAAATGTGTTGCGCCAATACAACATTACACGTTTCAGATAAACTACGTTGTGTCGAGATTCATAAAGGCAACTAATTGCTTTAAATCTGTTTTTTTTTTTTGTCTGTTGTTTAGGGCACACTGAATACACGTTGTAGTGCGTATGGAATTCATGTCAAAGAAGTTGAAATGTAAGCGATACTTTATTTTCTCAATTTTATCACTAAAATAAGTCGTGTTTTATCATGTGATGAAAAAAAGCTAGCGGCGGTCAAACAAAAACTTGGCTTAACCAGTCAATGAAATCCACAACAGTTGGTCTAAGCCAGCCACGTAGGAAGGTGTAGACTTCCTGACCGGTTGGGGTCCTCGGGACGGTAAAAATCTATGGTTGGAAACAATTGGTGACATGGCTCAAACTCATCGTTCTCAGTGGCTAGCGCAGATGCATCGACTCCTTGTGACTTATGATTTCCAATGAAACTGTTTTGTTCTTCGTTATTACTCCTCCTTTGTCTGACACCTCTGCTCACTGTTTCTATTATGCTTTCCTTGTACTTTCTTCTCTTGCTTCGCGTGCTACACGGAATGTGGCGACTTGAACTTCCGCACATTTGTGCAAAGTTCTATGTCGAAAACAGACAGACAGACATGTGATGATCAACAAAAATACGGACTGCAGTACCGGAGACAGACATTTATAAACACCATTTAACACCTACATATGGTGATGTCACACACGTTAAGTGAATGAGTCAGAAGTGGAAAGCATTTGAAGTGGAGACAAGACTGCCTTATTGTCTGGAACATGTGGCGGCATATACCATTACGGAAATGTCTCCTGCGGAGTGAGCCAGTCAGTTACTTGCATACGCCATACTACAATTAGGCGTGTTTCTCGTCGAATTTTTCTGAACATCACCCTGCACAGTGGTTGGTTGGTTGGTTAAGTAAAGGACAAACAAAATCTATTTACATAGCTCTATATTCTATCTCATTCATCTTGTGGACACAACAGAACACAAGACTGATTGATGTTAACAAAGCGGCTTTATGGGGTCATTTACCGCAAACCAGCCAACAAACCTTAATTTCCCCTTAGGAGTTCAACCATTGAATATTGCTGATGCTGGCTGGCCGTTGGGATTCATATTAACAAGCCTAATTTGTGCATCCAAAAGAAGTTGGTTAGTTCAGACATTATCCATCTTTATCCGCTTGGCCATCCATCCAGGTTTGAATGATCCTGAATTTTTGTGGAATTTTCCTAATTTTAGTTGATATTCTATTTTCACTATATCTTTATTATTATTATTATTTACGCATCTTTAATGGTCTGTGGTAATTCCATTGTGATCTCACTTTACAAATCGATATTATTATTAAAATACACGCCGATATTGTTATTGACTACTACTAATCTAGAATATTCTATGTATACAAACATGCATGCATATATAGATATAATTGTAGGGCGAGAAGAGGAGAAGGAATATATCGAAAAGGGGATATTCTTTGGCCTGGCTCAATTATTTTGTGTTTTATAGAGGTTAGACTGACGAAAAGATCGAAGGATATATATAATGTATATATTTCGCAGGTGACTTAATATCTCATACCTCATAAAATCGCAGATATGCAAACAAAAGCCAACAAGTTTGAAGAAAAGGCAGCAGTGAAGTCAAAATTCCAGATAGATATTGAGCTGAAAATATGAGTGATATAAGAATAAAACTTGTGCACTGTGGTAGAGTGTAATTCCATTATGGGTAAATTTTGTTTTGATAAAGTCTCACAGTGTTGTTATACAGTAATGTTTACTGATGACCATGTTGCGAGCACAATTTATCGCTCATAATCATATCAAGGTAATCACACGACTTCCTAACTTCATTTATATACTTCCATTATTTTTCACTTGATTTAATTGGTAATAGTATTTTCCATATTTCAGGTATGAGTGATGAGTCATTCCTATTTCATGTGTTGGGTGTAGACTCGATGAACCAGACAGGATTCAGTAATCAACCTCTCTCTATCTCCACCTACCTAGATTACATTTTAGAATTTCAACCCTCTCCCATCTCTAGCTTCTTGACACATATAAACTCACCAGTAGAGGGAATAAAATTCACATTTCAATCAGAAAATGAACGAGGAGAATTAGCTGTGATGTTAGATTGTAAAGTAAAACGAATAGAAGAAGGTAAACTGCACAATAGTGTTTATAAAAAACCAACTCATTCTAATAGATATTTAGACTTTAATTCGTCTCATCCGTTAACTGTTAAGGCAGGCTTAGTTAAGTGTTTAACAAACCGAGCAGTGGCACTAAGTAGCACAAAAAAAGATCTAAACGATGAATTAAAACAGATAGAAGAAGCGTTGGTGTTAAATAACTAACTATCCTATTAAATTCATTAGGAAGATCAAAAAAGGCCAAACGAAAAATAAAAATAATTGTGAAACTATTAATAATAACATAAATAAGAGAGAATATAAGTCATCTACAGTTATACGATATAAAGAGGGGACATCTGAAACCCTGCGTATGATTCTAAATAAAGCAGGAATTAGGGTGGCATTTAAACCTACAAACTCACTCAGGGACAAGCTGTGTAGGTTAAAGGACCCAGTTGACCCAATCAGACAAAATAATATTATTTACAAAATATCATGCAATGACTGTGAGTCAGGTCAACTACATAGGTCAAACAAGTAGGTCACGGGTAGTCAGATTGTGAGAGCATAAGAATTTAGCTAAGGTAAGAATGGTTGACCCCGAGAAGATAAGTAATTTAGAAAAAAGCTCAGCAATTGCAATGCATGCGCTAACACACAACCACACAATAGGGTAGGAGAGGGCTAAAATTCTATAAAGTAATCTAGATAGGTGGAGAGAGAGAGAGAGGTTGATTACTGAATCCTGGCTGGTTCATCGAGTCTACACCCAACACATGAAATAGGAATGACTCGTCACTCATACCTGAAATATGGAAAATACTACTGCCAATCAAATCAAGTGAAAAGCAATGGAACTATATAAATGAATTTAAGAAGTCGTGTGATTACCTTGATATGATTATGAGCGATAAATTGTGCTCGAAACATGGTCATCAGTAAACATTACTGTATAACACTAAACTGTGAGACTTTATCAAAACAAAATTTACCCATAATGGAATTAAAATATGAGTGTTGATGACACTCGACTACATATGTGGAGACGTGGAAAACCAGTCGATAAACATTGCCATCCATACTGAAATCCCAAAAGTACTGTTATTAAGGTGTACTATGAATGTAAATTTCAAATTCGACGGCACGCTTTACAGGCAAGTGGACGGGATGGCGATGGGTCCCCTCCCCATTGGATCCCATTTTCGCTGATTTCTTTCTGAGTAAGCTAGAAAATTGACCTTTGAACAACTACCTGATCAGTAAGTTCTCATTTTGTTGCCGATATATGGATGACACCTTCATTCTTTGTGATATAATGATTCGGATAGAGGAGTATAATAATTACTGAATTCAATGAAGTACATTCTCTGCTATGAAATTCACATGCGCGAAGTGGAATCCCACAACAAAATGAATTGCCTTCCTGGATCCCCTTCCTCCTCCTTACACGGGAACCAGATGGTAGCATAAAAAGAAACTTGCATAGAAAAAGTACTTGGACAGGACAATGTTATACACATTTTCACAGCTTCGTTTATTGAAGACCCAAACTCAGCCACAGGGTTAGCTGGAACCATATGCTCAGAAGAAGTAACTGAAGGTGAACTGAGCATTGTATATGATACTTTGAATGATCGAAAATAGCTATCTTGACAAATTTGTCAAGAAACACATGACAAAAAAAAGCGGCAAAAAGGACTACTCACCATATATCCGTAAACGAGAAGCCTCTTTATATACAACTACAATTCAAGGGCGATCGATATAACAAGTGAGGCAATTACGTAGAAATTAAGAAAATCAGTTCAAAGAACTTTTAATACTGGCGAACTACACGTCTTATTCTCTACACGACCGATAATGATTCCTTGACTAAAAGATGAAATACCTAGAATAGACTAGCTGGCCACTTCAAATTGTATCTACCAATTCAACTGCAACTGTGCTTGTGGAGCAAGTTATATCGGCCATTGTTTTGCTCTAGGAACTTGATTTTTCGTGGTCGCTCGAGAGAGAGAGAGAGAGAGAGACAGAGCATCTCCCACTATGGGAAGGAAAAAGTTGTAGTAAAAACCATTAAAAATTCGATATTGGACTATCTGGTAGAAACGAGCCGGCCAGAAAGCCAGTCAGCCAGCCAGTGTGGAACAATCCTTCTCTATCATCATCTACCGAGTGCCTAATAAATTGACAAAATCATCATCGAAGCACCGGATGCTCCAAACACCAGAGGATATTGAAATTCGCCTCAAACAACCAGTGCTCTGTGTTCAAAAGAAGCAAGTCCAGCCAGCTAGCCAACCACTACCGCTGTCCTGACTGGCCTTCTGCAGAGACTATGAATTCATGAATTTGTAATATCATCTTTCCTAACTAAACTGACATTCAGTGTGTATTGTTATGTTGATGCTATTGAACTGTAATTCATTGGTATGATTATTATTATCATTGATTCGATGTTATTTAAACAGCAACATGAATGTTGTTGTTCATAACACTAATTCATTCATTCATTCACTATAATGGATGGATATATAACTCTAGAGCCTGATGAAGATGATGAAGTTATCGAAAAGGGTTTTTATTCTTTGTTCATTATACATTCTTTAGAAAAATATTTAATCAATGAAATTTTGGCAGGTTCTAAGTGTATATTTATGGTGCTAATTCACGTGAGATTTTCAGTTAATTTTTGTTTTCTCACTTGACTGATTAGGAGTGTCTTTCACCTGTTTGCAATGAGGAGCTTATGATTATTAGAGAATTACTTAGAGAAAAAGAAATGGTTATCCAAATAAATTAGTTGAGAAAAATATGAATTCAGCACCTAGGAGAGTCAGTATGGCAACAGTTCCGAAAAAACCAATGTTCATAGAACTGCAGTTCCTCGGTGACAACATCAGCGAAATAATAACACAGCGAGCACTTGAAGAATGCAGTTAATAGAGCTTATTATGCAGCAGAGGCGGTACGTTGTCTCTTTACAACCACCCCTATTTTACGACGTTCGAGAAATAAGGATAAACTACCTAAATTTGCCGCCGCCTCCTCTATGTGTATCTACCTGTTTGACTGCAGCTGCGGAGCCAGCTACATCAGGGAGGGGGGCGTACAATTAGGCAGGTTCATCATCGTATTTCCGAACATCATTCTGCATACCACAGTTAAGCAAGGGACATACAAGATCTATTCGTAGCCTATTTTAGCACACTTTGTAGATCATAAGAGCATAAGGTTGACGTTAATACTGCATTTAAAATTATTTATCGCATTCCTACTAATCTTAATTTGGCTTTATGAGTTCGTCTTCTATATACGACAGCTAAAGCAATAGGACTCCACCTTAAGAAGAAGCCAAGTCTGTGTGTATGTTCAGAAGAAATTTGTACAACCACTTTCCTTACCTTCCTTGGCTATAGTTACATGAATGCATAAACCGGACTACTTCGCCCCCCTCCGCCTAAACCTTTAAGAATTATAATTGTCCAAATTATTTTACTATTTTTTCTGGCCACTTCATTTTTAATTACGGGTTATCCTTGTAAAATTAATTTATTCTTATAATCACTTCATCCTTAGTTAGTTACAAATTATCATTGTCCAAATCGTTTTGCTTTCGTTTAACAATCTGTTGCGTAATCAACCTGTGCACCCGCTTATTCCTTAATTACTCTTCACTTATGTTCCGAAATTATGCATTATGCAATCCACGTGTTGTATGTATGTAACCATTTCCACCTTTTAATTGTGCTTATTAATTTTTTTGCGTTTAATTATCACCCCACTGTTTGACATGTTGACACTGACTGACTAATTATTGTTAACAAACAAACATATCAGTGCCACTTGATGATTGGTAAACTGTTTGTTGCGTATTGTAATAAAAATGCTACATGTACGTGTATATTAGAGTAGAGTAGAGCCAGAGTGAGGATATATATATATATAATTTAATTTAAGAACATAATATTCAGCAAAGAGACTCTTTTCAACAACGAATTTATTATCAAGCTGTACAATCGTATGTGTTTATGGTTCTTTTAATTAAGAAATTATATCCGGTGAGGGAGGGAATTAAGTCAAAGGTGTGAATACATGAAATAATAATAATACTACTAGTAGTAGTAGTATGAAATGCAACTAAAATATTTGTGATTATAATCATAGTTTAATGTCAAGTGGCAAAACAATTAATGTCATATATAGAATAATAATGCATAAGGTGTATAGATTTTGCAAAGGGGTCAGTCACTCTGTCAACCCTGACCATGATTTTAAGATCACGTATAGAATCCATGCTAACTTAGTGACAGCAGTTTCTTCGTTATAGACGTCTAAAGACGACAGCTGAGGCCTTGGCAGTTCATGAGTTTAAACCAGCCAGACAGGTCTTTGTGCACAAAAGAAGTATGTACAATCCCTACATCTGCCTTAGTCGTAGAGGGATAGACATTTATTTATTTATTTTGTTTATTTAGTAATTCTATGTACCTTTCCCCTATTACTACGATTATTATTATTATTATTATTCTCACTCTGAATTGTTTCCACTTATCAATCTAAATCCAAAAAATGTTCTTACAATATTGAATTCTATCTTATCAAATTTCACACACCATGTTATGTAATATTTTATATTCGCCTGCTAATCCCATAACTATGTACCCCTTTCCAAATTCTATACACACACCTTATGTATTATCATTCTATATATGACATTAATTATTTTGCCACTTGACATTAAACTATGATTATAATCACAAATATTTTAGTTGCATTTCATACTACTACTACTAGTAGTAGTAGTATTATTATTTCATGTATTCACACCTTTGACTTAATTCCCTCCCTCACCGGATATAATTTCTTAATTAAAAGAACCATAAACACATACGATTGTACAGCTTGATAATAAATTCGTTGTTGAAAAGAGTCTCTTCGGTGAATATCGTGTGTTCTTAAGGCTACAAAAATGGGAATTATTAAATTATTTTTATGTATTAATTTGTGTTGTAACTAATAACAATTACATTTTCTTTCAACATCAAACACACACTCTCTAGTGGAGATTTAGTTCTACTACGTCCACCACCAGTGAACAAGCAGAAATCAAATATTGAACTTGTTAGTAAACATTTGCAACAATTGTCATGTGTCCTTTTGAACACTCGTGATGCTACATCATCACATTTCTCTAAAATGTCTGCTGGCTTGAGCATACCACAACAGCAACAACAACAACATCAGCAGCAAGAAGAAACACCGTCTACAGGCAACACAGAAATGATTTCTAAACAATCCGAGTCGTTATCATCTTCAACAACAATCACATCTGGTGAATCCACCAATTCTACTACGATAACTGCTATGACAGAATCACAAAAACAACATCATTATAAGCCAGTCAGTACCCTTCAGCATTTATGGCTTTCTCAGAATCATCCATCCTTGTCAAGAGCAATTACTCGTGCTCAAGGTTTATTGAATAGTGATATTGCTTGTGAAGCATTAGAGAGGGCATCATTACAACTGGTTATATCAACGTCGTCATCATCGTCACAAATCAAATTGACCAAAGATAATTTACCCTTATTGGATACAGCTGAAAATTTGGGGTATACTCTCCTGTATTTAGATGCCAACAGTGGTGAGTGTTATGTCCTATGATAAACTGTTTTCAAGATTATTATTATTAATTTTTTTTTTTGAAATACTGTATTCAACCCCAATGGGTTGATCTCTGACGAAATCTCAGTACGGATACAGTTTACGCCGTCTCTCTCTGGCTTAGTAGACGTGATATCCGGCTAACTGGCTGTCGACCAAAGGGTGGGTGTACTGCTCAGTCAAGCAGTTCGTTCCGTCCTCCTTTATGGCTAGCTGGCTGGTTGTGAGACCTGGCTATTGAGAGTGGAAGACATGAAAAGCCTTACTGACTAGCTGTCTTTGATCACAGGTGCCTGTCTGCGTTCTATCTCCTGTGTGTGTGTGTTAAATGGTATAATAAGGTAAGCAATATTGAGGTTAGACGTCGGTTGAGTGCTAGGTAGGAGTTTTGAAATGACATCGACTGAGGTGGTTAAGACATGTGTTACGCATGGATGCCTAGGCATCGCCTTCCTCGACTGACGGGCAATGTTAGCTGACATAGGATTGGTCAGGCTAGAAACCAAAACATGGCTTCATCACCAGTCAATGAAATCCACAACAGTTAGTTTAAGCCAGTCAGCTAGCCACGTAGAAAGGGGTCGACTTCCTGACTGGCTGGTTGGGATCCTCGGGACGGTAAAAGCTAATGAAGGTTAGAAACAATTAGTGATATGGCCGGCTCCAAATCGTTCTCGGTGATGGCTGGCGCAGATGCATCCACTCCTTGTGACTTATAATACCCAATAAAACTATATTGTTCTTCGTTCGTTATTACTATTCCTTTGTTGTCTCACACCTCTGTTTACTGTCTGCCTCTATTATGCGTTTCTTCTACTCTCTTGTCTTACTTTGTGTGCTCCAAGTAGTAGAGTGTAGCGACTTCAACTGGTGCCCATCGGTGGAAAGTTCTATGTCGAAAACAGACAGACAGACAATATCGAATGAAGTGATTCGACTGACTGGCTGGTTTGTATGCTATATCTATTCATGAATAATTCCCATTCGAACATTCGTAGACAGAAGACAAGTAGTTCAGCGAAGAGTCTCTTTTCGGCGAATTCATTTTCATAGCTGTACAATCGCAAATATATATGGTTATTTTGTGTGTGTGTGTGTGTGTATACATTAAATTTGTCAAACGAAAATACAGTTAGTAAGTTCAGATGAATTGGATGTTCATATAAGAGGATAGCAACATAAGTGATGAGTTGTCATAAATGATTGTTAAATAAGTCAGGTAATGGCATGAATAGTTTGATGAATGAGTTGTGCTCAGGTTGTGTGTACATGGAAACAAAATAATATACAGAATTACACAAGGGTTTTAAGTTAGAAAAATAAGCATACAAACAGAAGTAAGGTCAAATCAAACAAACAAAGAAAAGTTAGGTCAAATCAACAGAGCTGTTACCATGCGAGTAGAAGTGGTTGGATAATTTTCTTTTGTATGCATAGTTCTGGTTCCACCAACTGGATGGCTAGGGCTTCTGCGATGCAAAGAAGACGGAATCGTACTGTCTTTGGAAGGTTGTTTTTCACTTTGTAGATTACTTTGAAGCAGGAGGCGTTTTTTGAGATGGAATGACCAGTGTTGACGAGATGTTCGATTATTGCACTCCTTATATGGCCATTATTTCCTTTCTGTAGCCATGCTGGATAGTGTTCTTTGACCCTTTTTGACAGGATGCGCGTTGAACGACCGATGTACCTGGCTCCACAGCAACAGGTAAGCTAATATATACACATAGAAGTGGTCATGTGCGGAATCTTGTCCTTTGGGTTTCTGCAGATCAGCGGGCGACTGCTATATCTATATCAAACAGTTTCAATATTCTAGCTGTTATTTCAGATATTCTCGCTTATATATGGTAGGATGAATTTTCTTGTGTTCTTTGATGATGGAATTTTTTTATCTAACTCTTCTTCTCTCGTGGTGAATTTGATGTCTTCAAATATGTTGTTTATTAATTTATGGGCATATATTGTAAATCATTTCTCTTAATTATCACAAATGTATCATCAGCATAACGTATGTGTCCAGAGTTTTGGTTTAATCATAGCTAGGAGGGGCTATTAGTTCTAACCTTTATACAACGTCTTCTGCTATTAATCCTGATATGGGCGATGATCCCATTGGTGTTCCTTTCATCTCTTCATATATTTGAGTATTGGATTGAAAGTATGTTTTAAGACATAATTTTATGAGTTCCATCATCCAAGTTGAACATCACAGTGTCTTTATGTTTTCAACACTATGGTGTAATTGTTGTAGAGTTTCTGTTGCTAGTTTTAGATTAATTGAAGTAATATAATTCTGTGACATCATCAAAGGACACCATTATTTCAAATGGCTATCCAGAAAGATTTATCACAAAATCAATGAAACCCAGACCAGAGAAGCCGCCCATACCCAGTGCTCCAAAAAGACTTCTCTACATGAACCTATAGTTCAATGAAGATCAATCTACAGAAATACTGAGAAATCGGCTCTCCCGCTCATTGAAGAAAACCTTCCCTGCAGCTGAATTACCACTGACGTTCTCCACGAGACCAATGATTCGTATGAACGTGAAGGATAAGCTACCGCTGTTGGCCTCATCTATGTGCATCTACCAATTTACCTGCTCGTGTGGAGCCAGGAATATCGGCGGTAATCAGTGTTCGCTATCCAAACGCGTCAACGAACATTTACCCTCATGGTTTTATAAAGAAAAAAACCGATGCCCCCGCAGCTCGATCCTTGAACATTTGATCGACTCTGGACACCAAGTCAAACCAGAAATAAACTTCAAAGTCATCTACAGAATACAAGGCAATCTTGATAAAAGTGTACGGATCAAACTTCTCCACGTCTCAGAAGCAATGGCAATTTATCTGCTAAATCGTGAACTCTGCATACAAAAGAAATTCGTTCATTCATTAAATCTACAATGGACGTAATCTTTCTTAATTTCAGTCTTACTAATTGTATTATTTTGTCTTTTTCATTTTATTTTATCATTTTATTATTTCACATCTTCATTTATATTATTCTCTACCCCACCCTTTTGTAATCTCTACCCTCATTAACAATGTTGCTAACTTGACCCACGTCCAATTTCTAGTCAACTATGTTACGTCACTCGATTAACTTACTTATTTTCAACTGTATTATTCTCTAACCCCACCCTTATTTAATTTTAACCACCACTCATTAACACTGTTGCCAACCTGACCTACTCTGAATTCTACTCAACTGTATTACGTCATCCAATTCACTTAATCAATTCTATTTTATTTTCTATCTTAACTTTTGTCTCCAAGCCGAATAATACTTACATTACATAATTATCTAAACTTTATAAATCTAATGTACACACACACAAACAAAATTGTATATATATGCGATTGTACAGCTCAGTGAATGAATTCCCCGTCGAAAAGAGTCTCTTTACTGAAAGCCTTCTTTTCTTTTATATGACTGAATGGGGATTTTCAAGTTACATTATTTCATTGTCATCTACTTATTACTATTATTATTATTTTTCCAAAAAGCGTACATCTTTTTGTAACACTCTAAGAGGTTTCTAGTAATGAACAGTTTTTAAGACATCATTATGCACTAAAATCCTGTTAATTGTCCACATTTACTATTATTAATACTATTCCATCAGATTCATAGTGGAACATAGGGCTCCATTTTATCCTGTCCTCTGCAGTCCTGTTTATCGGACTCCACGATTCTCCGTAAATGCTCATTCCTTCCGCACACAATCTCTTCAATTTCATCCCACTCTAGGCGCCAAACTTGTCGTTTTCCATTCAGATAGCACTTAAAGGCGCCAGCGTAGCGTGTGTCCGATTCATCTTCATTTCTTCCGGCATATTTGGCAGTCGGTAGTTCAATGGGGCTGGTTGGTTTGTTACCACAGCGCTGCTTGTTGCTTGCATATCCTTCCTGGTCATCTAATCTTCAGTTATTGGAGGCCACGAAGACAGATGTTGATAAAAGTCTAAATCCTGTTTTAACCTGGTTCACTAATCTCTGTCCCAAATCCTGTGAAAAGGGAAGATTCGGTGTGCGCGTGGCTAACAGTCCTATCCAGGAAAATCAAACTGAATCATCACAGAAAGTTCAACACACGGGAAGAAAAATGAACGCATTTATGACAAGTATACTTTATCAGATTGCAGGTTGACTGACTACTGTGAAGGTTATAGTCTGATGAGAGCTGTCTGCTGCTAGCTAGCCAAAAATTGGTAGACAGTAATTTGCGTCAATGTTTGTGTCCCAAATATTGATCATGTGAAAACAAGACCAAGAACAGCACACTCTGTCTGCGTAGGCTGATACAGATAGCGGATAGATGATCTGACCTTCAAGAAACAGCTACAAAGGGAATCAACCAATCAGAAGACAGTGTTTGTCTGCTAACAATAATCTATAATAATGTACATGGAAATCGATAAATAAACGATCTGTTGACTGGTTGGCCCTTGTCTTCTGTTGCTACAACAACACCACTCACTATTCAGTTCATAAAATAAATTTTAACAACTATTTTTGTATTAATTATTTATCATAAAAATCTATGACAGTCAAATTTTCTCACACAAAGTCGAAGAACATGCTTTATGCCTCTCATCTATCATATTTTTTGCTGTCATTTAATTTTCAGTTTGATGTATCGAATATGCAAAAAAAAATTGATCCCTAAAAATTCTTATCAAATTTCTTATTAATCAAAATATGCATGCGCTAGTCGTTTGTGTTGAAATTAGCTAACTAGTATTGATATAAGTATAAAACTTGGGCTGGCACTGTGCTGTGCTAGAGTATAACTACTCCATTATGGATAATACTTTATTTTGATAAACTGTCACACACACACAGTGTAGTGTAGTATTTGTTATACAGTAAGTAATATTAACTGATGCGACCACACGCCATTTCGAGCACAATTTATTATTATTCCCACTCATAATCATCATATCAAGTCACTCACTCACTCACACGACTTTCTTGTTTCCTTCATTTATATACACATGAGTGGAATTCATGATTAGACATTTGAATACAAACCAGTAATATATAGGATAATGTACATTCAGAAATAATAATAATAATATGTGTGTTATGAGTGATCAATTACAATAATCAGATGGGAAATAAGACGAGTGTTTTTGTTTTATAGTCAAAATAAGTGAGTAACTTGTTAGAATGTTGTGATGATGTACGTGAATTGAATTGAAATAGAATACAATTTGAGATTATTTATTATCCTCCTGTGATTTCACTGACTGACTGGTGGAAATAATATCTTCCATGCATATCTGTGGTATTTGCATTGAGTCATATCTGTTGCATGTGTTGTGTTGGGTGTAGACTCGATGAACCAGCCAGGATTCAGTAATCAACCTCTCTCTCTCGCTCTCAACATCCCTATTACGTTTTAGAACTTTAACTCTCTCCCACCATGCTACTGTGTGGTTGTGTGTTAATGCATGCATGCATGCAGTGCAGTGTAGTGGTGAGCTGTCTTCTAAATTACTTATCTTCTCGGGTGGGGTCAACCATTCTTATCTTAACTAAATTCTTATGTTCCGACAATCTGACTACCTCCGCCCGATATACTAGTTTGACGTATTGTGTAGTTTACCTAACTCACAGTTATTGTAGGGTATTTTGTAAATTACATTATTTTGTCTAATTGGGTCAACCGACAGGGTCCTTTAACCTACAGAGGTTGTCCTACCTGAATGAGTTTATAGGTTTGTATGCCCACCACCAGCCTAATTCCTGCTTTACTCAGAATCCTACGTAGGGAGTGAGTGTCTCAGATGTCCCCTCCTTCCTTATATGGTGTTACAGTGCATGATTTCTATTCTCTTTTATTTATGTGATCATTACCAGTTTCACAATTATTTTTCAATTTTGCTTTTCACCTTTTCTTATCTTCCTAACGAATTTTGTAGGATAGTTAGCTATTCAACGCCAACACTTCTTCTTCTTTCTGTTTCATTTCATCATTTAAGTGGTCTGTTTTTGTACTTCTTAGTGTTACAGTTCGGTTTGTTAGACACAAACCAATTAAGCCTGTGACAACAGAAGACAAGGGTCAGGGAACAGATCATTTTATTACGGAAATCAGCACGTATTTATATATAATTTTTGTACATTATTAGAGGCTATTCAAGTAGACAAACGCAGTCTTCTGATTGGTTGTTTATGAGAAGTTAAGCAGACAAACGCAGTCTTCTGATTGGTTGTTTTCGATATTTCCCGGACGGAAATTGGGTGGAGCCATCTATCTGCGAATCATATTTACCCACGCTTAGGTCTGCTGTGATTGGTTGTTGAATCAGCCTTGTTCATATTTTTTCTCATGGCCAATATTAGTGACCTAGACATTGACGTAGATTAATGTCAACCAATTGGCTAGCAGGCCTGCTCTCATCACAAGCCTACGTTCATGGACAGTCAACGGATAAAGAGATGAATTAAAGTCTAAATATCTATTAGCAGAATGCTTCAGATCTTTATAAACTCTGGTGTGCAGTCCACCTTCGTCTATTCGTTTTTTTTTATTTACAATCTAACTGATACGTAGTCACGTGATGTCTGTTTTGCTTTTGACAGTCTGATATATTTTGCTATGTGTATATTGATCGATATTTCATTATTGATTTTTGATTAAGGCTTGATTCCACACACTGTATTTTTGGTACTAGTATGGAATTTTCAGCATGGATATGGGTAGCCCAAATTTCGCAGGCCGACCATAGATATCAGGTGTGCTTCGTCGGCAGGGGATCGAACCCCGGACCATATGCATGGTCAGCGGGAGTTCTAACCACTGTGCCACTGTCTGTCCATTAACTAAATAATCAATGTATAACCTTTTTATCAGATGACATTATAACCAATCGGAATGCAATGATGGTAAGAAATAACTACCTATCTGTCTTATTGGTTCATGTGTATTAGTCATTTTCATATATATCCTTTTGTATTGTACACTTTTATACACACTTGTTCACACATTTCGTACACTACGTACCCTTCCACTGTCACATTTGTGTGACAGTCATTTTCTTTTCCTTGTTTGGAAAATAGAAGTATCATCGTGAACGAGATGGTCTTCTGATTTTCCGCCTTTTTGCGTCAGGACTATTAGCCACTCACTCAGCAGTACATAACACTAACACATCACAGCTAATTCTCCTTGCTCATTTTCTGATTGAAATGTGAGTTTTATATTCCCTCTACTAGTAAGTGAGTTTATATGTGGTGTCAAGGTACATAGGAAATCTTCTCCCTGAGGAGTACCTGGAGTGGAATGTACACTATTTATCCATCGTGGGTGGCACAGTGGTTAGGACTCTCGCCGACCATGCACATGGTCCAGGGTTTGAGCCCTCGCCAACGCACACCTGATATCTATGGTCGGCCTGCGAAATTTGGGGTACCGATATCCATGCTGAAAATTCCATACTAGTACCAAAAATATACAGTGTGTGGAATCAAGCTGTAATCAAAAATCAAATCAATATATTTTGCAATATTTTCGCTTAATTCTTCAAACTAATCATTCATACACACACACACACTTTTATTTTTCCCCCAAATATATTTTTTCTTTTCTTTATTTTTTTCTCCTCTAAAATAAAATAGGCAAAGTTGGAGTAGGCAATGGCTTATCACTACTGGAGAAACAACCGAATTCTGCTACCCTATACATTCACATCAATGATTTAATCGATGTTGTTGAAGGTCGTCTAGATGTTCTGAAAGCAATCGAATCTGATCAAGTCTGCATGACTGGCTCATTAACAGTTTTGAGTAAAATGCGTCACTTACTTTATTTACCAGCTTGAGGTTGTTGTTGTTCATTTACGCAGTACACCACACACACACACACACACTAAACAACGTATACAACAAAGTGTGTTGGTTGACCGATTTGATGTGTGATTGAGAATCTGCTGTGTGCTCCTCCGTGCGCTCTTGTCCTCTCTTTTGTTTTTTGTCTCTAACCATGTTTATCATCAACTATAGTCATCAGTGTGTCTGTCACACTTATAAGCATTTATCAAAAATTGTTTTTTTGTTTATCCTGTGTTTTTGATTGCATTTTATTATTTTGATCCGATCTAGTAGTCAATGAATGAATGCATTTAATTAATTTTTACTTACTTACTTTCTTGACCCTGTCTGACTTCCGTATCCACGATTTGTGTCTTCACACGGGTAGATACGTTCCTGTTCTCTTAAGTATTTTATTATTTCTCGTATCAAGGTAGTTGTAACAGTTTATGAATAACCAAGTCCAGTAAACGAAATTTACCCATTTCATACTACTCAATTGCTGTTATCGTCATTATTATTATTATTATTACTATATAAAAGCCAATGTTATTGGATGCTGACTTGTAAGACAAAGCTATTGCATTGATATGTTCTTTGTTTTTGATCGTTTTTTTCCATTCGCATAGGATCTCATTGGTCGCATCCTTCATTATTATTATTATTATTATGCAACTTAAGAATAAATATATGTCAAATCTTAGAGTTTGTTTTGTGAAACAGACTTATTTATATAAAACACAAAATAATTGAGCTGTCCAGTACTCCCTGTGGCTGGTTTTTCAATGGTTCTCTAACCAATGTCAGCTCCTGTAACCAATCAACCAAATCCCTAGAAACCAACACTTGAATATCAATGAGATGCTCACTAGCGACTTTCCCTGTGGATGGGTTCCAGTGAAAAGTCGTGACCAGTAGGGTGAAACAGGTAGGGGGTGTGAGGACAAATACTCGAGACCGAAGATATTGGCTAGTGCCAGTCGCGCTATCTCGTGTGTGAATTGGAAGGAGTTAGAATTCATGCATTTGCTGGCCACTGGATCAGTTCTCAGCGGCTTAATTGTCTCACGCGACCTCCTTCACATTATCGTTGGACTCACACACACACACACACATTGTCGCTCGCTTCTCATTGGAGTTCAACTCGAGAGTCTGGCATGCAGTGTATCATTCAACACGTATCTGATCCATCTACATTTCTATCGATATATATTCGTTGCGTAATAGGTTCTTGATGAGTCTTTTCCAGGATTTCTTTGTTGCTAGTTCTTTCTCGTCATCTGATCCTTAGTATTGGTCGAAGGGCACAGCTGTTGATATATATATATATATATATATAATATTATTATTATTATATCCTTTAGTTCCTAGAGGAACATAGGGCTTCAGCTGCCCACCTCCATTGCCTTCTGTTTTCTGACAACTTTTTCACTCCGCTCCAAGTCTGACCACATGCTTTCATCTCCTCCTCGCATGACCTCCTCCAAGTCACCCTTACATTGACGACCAACTCGCCGCTTCCCATTCGGGTTCCACTCGAGCAATGGCTTGTCTAGTGATGTCGCTTGATGGTTTCCTTAGGGTATGGCCAATCCATCTCCATTTCTTCCTGCCTATTTGTTTCACAATCGGTTCCTGGTTGGTTCGCTCCCAGAGATCGCTGTTGCTGATCTTTTCTGGCCGGCTGGCCATCTGATCTTGAGTGATATTGAGCGAAGACAGCTGTTAATGAAGGTCTGAAGTTTGTTTGAGGTGCTCTTCATGACGCGCTGGCCAAGTCTCTGATCCATATATAGTAAGTAGCACTGACTGACTTCACATTGAAGTTGAAAATCCGGATGTTATTTTCATGTTGAGTACTGTGTGATGTTGACCTCCTCTACACAGACTTGAGAGTAATGAAAGCTTGTCTTGCTTTCCCGACCCTCGCTTCTTTGATATCCTCGTCAGTTCCGTCCACCTGTAGTTGAAACGATGCTTTCCAGATAGGTGAGTAGGTGGGTAGGTGAAGGAGGTTGTTTCTTTCAGGTTCCTCCTATTTATGCTGGCTGACTGTTGTTGTTGTTGCTGTTGGCCAGGAATCTTCATCACCTACCTCTGTTCTCTCTATATTCACCTGAAGTAAGTCCTATCTCTGGATGCTTGTTCTGCCAACTTGTTGCTTTTCACTTGCATATCTTTCAGTTTGTGGGAAATCAGACATATATCATCATCAGCGAAGTCCAGATCCTCCAAGTTTTTTGTGTGAGTACATTTTATGTATGTTTCCCCATTGCCCGCCGCTGTCGGTCGCATTATCCAATCTACTGCAATCAGGAAAATCATTGGTGATAGTAGACAGCCTTGTCTCACTCCCGTCCTTACTTCGAAGGCTTCTGTAAGTTTCCTGTTGTGGATTACTTGGCATGCAGCATTGTCGTAAAACTGTTGGATGAGATGTATAATTGTCGATGGGACCCCGTAGTATATATATATATATATATATATATATATATATATATATATATATATATATATATATATATATGAGTATAGTTGGATACAGCAGCACTGAGTGACGCGGGTTCGAATCTCAGAACGGACATGAGTTGTTCTTTCAATGTGGTTGCAGATACGCCTTGCTGACTGACCGGTGAGTGCCAACTAGTACGAAGCCCAAGTCCTAGGCTTCCTGTGGCCAATTGCCTCCACCTATCTAATATTAAATCAGTCCATTTTATGCTAAAATGCGCTGAAGATATTGTCCAGCAGGGGGAGGACGAAGGCTCCGCTCAGAGATCACAATTAATTGCATATTATTTTTATTATTATTTAAACGAAGAAAAAACTTGGTACAATATGGCACCAAGAAAGATGCGCTACACAATAATTATAAAACAACATAGATCAAAAAAAAATATATAACTCGAGAAGGGATAAAGAACTTCATCTGGAAGGAAAACAGTCATACTACTTAACAAGTTCAAACAGTATTCGTTAACTATCATCAGGAAGGGAAGAAATAAGGAAATTGCAACACGTTCGCCATTGATTACGATTCTTGGCCATACCCGATAACACTTCGAGCTATCTCGCCGACCCCAAAACGCAGTTGTGACGCACCAACCCATGATGCTAATCTAGCACACATATCTTTCATCTCACGATGCCACGTTATGGACTGACCACCACTCCACCTTTTCAATCCCGTCCCAGAGCTGGCCAGAGAACAGAGACCCGTACGGAAGCCTCTGGGATGACATTTGCAGTACATGTCCAAGCCACCGGAGCCGGTGTTTCCAGATGATGACGACACTCAGTGAATGGTGATCTCCACCATGTTCAAACACACACACGCCGCTTAACCTCAGAATTATTCACACGATGATGCCATCCATCGAACGCAAGCAATCCTGCAGAGACAGCGATGATCGAACACGCAGAGTCGCCGAACACCCTCAGCCTACTCGGAGAGGCCAGGTTTCACAGGCGTAGAGCAAGACAGCCCACACTGAAGCATTGTATACCTGACGTTTGACAGCCAGGCTAACGTCGCGACGGCGCCAGAGGTGGCTGAATTTGATGTATGCCACCCTAGCCTTTATTATTATACGGCTGGAAATCTCATCCGTCACCCCTCCGCCAGCACTCACACAACTACCCAGGTACACAAACTTATCAACAACTTCAAGCGGTTCACCCGCAAGAGTGAGTGCAGGTACAGGCTCCTGCCAATCTTGTAACAGTACTTTGCACTTAGACGGCGCAAAGCACATACCATACTTACGGACACTGATCGCCAACTGATTAAGTGCGATTTGGCCAGCCTGCATACTATCGCATAGTACGACGATATCGTATGCATACTTGAGGTCGAAAAGTCTATCTCCAGGTAGAAGATCTACACCACCTTCAAACACATTCAGCCAGCAAAGCATATCCTTTTCGACAAATTGCTCCTCTTCTCACTCTAAAATTATATCTATATATCCATGTTTATATACATAGAATATTCTAGATTAGTAGTAGTCAATATCAATATTAGTGTGTTTTTCAAATAATATCGATTTGTGAAGTGAGATCACAATGGAATTACCACAGTTCATTAGGGATGCTTAAATTATAATTATAATAATAAAGATATAATAGAAAATAGAATATCAACTTAGATTAGGAAAATTCCACAAAAATTCAGGATCATTCAAACCTGGATGGATGACCAAGCGGATAAAGATGGATAATGTCTGAACTAACCAACTTCTTTTGGATGCACAAATTAGGCTTGTTGATATGGATCCCAACAGCCAGGCAGCCTCAGCAATATTTAGTTAGCGAACTCTTAAGGCGAAGTTGAGATTTGCTGATATGCGGTAAATGACCCTGAAAGCCGCCTGGTTAACATCAATCAGTCTTGTGTTCTGTTGTGTCCACAAGATGAGTGAGATAGAGTACCGCTATGTGAATAGATTTTGTTTGTCCTTTACTCAACCAACCAACCACTGTGCAGGGTGATGTTCAAAAATTCGACGAGAAACACGCCTAATTGTAGTATGACGTATGCAAGTAACTGGCTTGGCCAACTACACAGGAGCAGTTCAATTGGTAGGTACACACACATGGAAGAGGAGGCGAAACTAGGCAGTTTGTCTTTTACTCCCGAACGATAAATAGCGTAATTCAGCAGCAGCACTGAATGCTCTTCGTTTCACCGCCTCATTTCTAAGGCACTGTGTTAGTATCTCGATGATGTTGTCCCCAAGAAACTGCATTTATAAGAATAAGGCCTTCCGTTAACGCAACTGTTGGTGTACCTTGGGCTGCTTTTATTTTAGATTCATATTTTTATCAATAAACTTTTCTGGATAACCATTTTCACTTATCAAGCTATTAAGTTATTATTAAGTTCCTCATCAAGACATTCATCCGAGCAGATTGTTCTTGCTCTGTTGTGGACCAAGCACTTTATGAGATTGCACGAAGCTGAAAAAATGAGTATACTGACAGGCAGTTGATTTAGGTTTTCTATGTACAC